TATGGTATGGCGGTGGGAAAGTGGATGAAGCCGAGATGTCAGGTCAGGATCAATAACATTGCATTATCAAGAATCTCTAATATACACAGGAGCACCGGACAATATGTGACTGTATTATTCAAAGCACTGGACCATATATGACTGTATTATTCAATGGTAGACTTATAAATATATAAGATATATTCAGGAGAGAAAAATTGTCTAGCATGGCATAGTGATCCAACTTAGAATCAGAACGATATTGGTGATTTTTTTTTGTGGGGGGGGGGGTCACATAGTGAAAGAAGAGCGTTCAATTAATGACAGTGAATGCGGAAGAATTTCTTTACAGATGCAGCAAAAGAGACTGGAGGCATCAGAGATATGTTTCTACATAAGGATGCTGAGAGTACAGTGGACAGAGCATGTAAGCAGCGAGTATATTTTAATACAAATGGAAACAGAAAGGTGCACTTAGAATCAGAAAAAAGACAGTTGAAATTTCGTTGACACAATAAGGAAAGAGGGTTTGGGTAATTTGTCGCTAACGAGGGTATGTTGGAGGCAATGGCCACTGAGTTAACAGCAAAAAACCAACTGAATAATCTCGCGAAAATGAATGACAGAACAGAGAGTGGGGGGGATAATAAAAAGAAAAAACATTACTAAGAGCTATAAGGGATTAGGATGTTGTGGAGAACCATGATACCCTAACCCTAACCCTAACCCTTTCTGAAGGGACAGTGGACGTCATAGAAATAATTAAATGTACTCACTTCCACAAGATCCATTGGAGAGTTTGATGTTATCAAGAGCAAGACTGATTCCACGTATTGTTCCAGTAATACCAGTGAACACAACTCTTTTCAATGACGCGTTAACATTTTCTTTTAGGTCTGGGTATAAATCCATGCATCCATAGTTCCATCTTCTACCGTGATCTCCATTGTCTTGCCACTCATTTTTATCCCAGGAATTCAGTGGAGCGTACATATCTTTGAATGACACTTGCAACTCGCCCGGTGTGGGACCACTCATGTAATAAAGAAACTCTAATTTCCTTTTAATATTGGCTTCAATAGGCGGCGATATGAGATAAGTTTTCATTCCTTCTTTACCGTAAGTGTTGTATATTGTCATATATTTTCCTGCAAATAATTGTTATAAAGAACGAAATAATTTTAAAAAAGGCTCTAATTCATCAAGTAAGAAACTTATAATAGCAAATTGGTAAAAACAGATATCGAAAATTTTAATTATCAGAAGAATGACTTTCTTAATATTGGTTGTTTGGTTTATTTTGTTTTATTGCATATCAATCTCACTGGCGACAAGATTTTTAGGATAGGTTTGTATGAATAGAATATTTATTCTTTGTAAGAAATCAGTTTGTAGATCAGGTTTCATTCACGTAAAAAGAGTCAAATGTATTACTGGCAATATTTTATTTAAAAAATTACTGGTACTATTACTATAAAAATCCAGTTTTTTATATTCATACTGTTTTCATACCAATTTGGGGGTTAACTATATGCCTATAGCTGGGATCCCAACAGGTGCTATCACCGGAGGTCAGGATGGACCTGAAAGCAACAACAATTAAGAGGTCGTTCCCGAAAACCTTGAGGCCTTGCGGATGGATATTAATATTGAGTGATCTTCCTTGAAACTAGAACTATTAAATTCGCTAGAGTGTGTGTCATTGGCTGACGACGAAGTCACAAGAATTTGCAAGAAGGGGAGAAGAGATGGATTCATACCTTCCCCAAGGTTATTTGCGCGTAAGTAAATATAACGAGCTAGGCTGGAATTCAAATTCGAATCCCTAATTGAAAAGCGAGGAACAGTAACCGGTTAGTTTCATTTTTGCTATTGGATGTTTATATATATATATAGCAGCAGAACAGCGTCGTATCGTTGGTGCAGTCCAGGTCGTTTAGGTTGTAGTCCCCGAGCTAAACACTCCGTGAATCTTTCTATTGTTACATTACCCAGTATAATGAAAATATAATCTAATAAAATGTAATGTTTTTTGAAAAAAAAATGAATTTTAATAGGAAAAATGGAAATTATTTGTGGCTCAACCTAATGATCTGAAAAGCAAAAAAAAAAGACATTAGTACGTAAAACTTGAAGTATCGTACAAGGGTCGGATGGAAAATTCATTGGCTGACCAAGATATAAATGTAAGTAGATACACTTATTGGTGGACTAAAAAACATGCAGGTTTAACTTTTAGCCTACCAACTCGTGTGATTAGTTGCATTTATAACTTGGTCAGCCAATGAATTTTCCATTCGACCTTTGTAAGTTTTGAAAAGGTACACTCAAATGGATCACCTGAAAATGCGATGGGCCTTTCTTTCCAACCTAATATTTCACAGATTTTAAAGAATCCTGGAATTATCTACTTGGATTATTTGCAATTTAATTTAATTTTCTTGGGAGCATTAGTAATTCTTTTTACAAAACTGTACTGCCGATATTTTTTTAAATGCATTGCAGGTATTTTTTTAATTTCTACAAAAATAGATTGTTGGTAATTTCTTTACTATGAAAATATATTGCTGGTATTTTTACTTTAAAATGTTTTATAGCTTCATTGTGTTTTGATCCTAGTTTGGAGGTTAACTATTTGCCCATAGCTTTGGGTCTAACAGGCGCTACCACCTCGGGTCAGAGTGGACCTGGGAACAACATCAAATCAGAGGTGGTTTCATGATCCACAAAAACTCCCGATAAGAGGTCATGAGGCCGGATGTAGTTTATCGTCATACTCGGGACTAGCTACTAGATCGTTGGAACAGAATTCTGTCGTTAATTGAGGAGTAGTCAGTTGTATCTTAAAACTACTATCTAATTGCGATTATTGAAACGATTCTCAACGCGAAGGGTGGAATCGGCGAGCCGGGTTCAAATCCCTGCCAAGAGAGTTCCGTTGAGAAATGCACGAATCCACCATTTCTCTCTCCAGCAATCTGTTAAATCACAAGATAGCTGGGCTTTAGTATTGGATGGCAACCAGTTTAAGAGAAGAAAACCTCTGGAATCTAGAGGTATAGAGGAGGCAACTATCTTTTTCAACAAGGCGGAATAATTCACAGATAACAAAGAAAAGGAATCTGTGGTGAGCCATGACCGCCTATATTCTGCACATATGCACATAGTAGCTTAAAAAATACAGAGAAATCAAAATGCATCTTACCAGTGTTATTGGCTGAATGGTCTGGAATCGCATACCATTTCCTAGTAGACCATATAACAGTTGAGCCATTTCCTTTAATCGTTTGATATCCACACTTTCTGTCATTAAATGTACATGATACAGTGCCAATTCCTGTCAAATAGAGAAAGTAAAACAAATTGAAAAAAACAAGTTAAACATTAAAATAGTATAAATTAAATATAAGGTGCAGTGTAACCCGGATATAAGAGAGTTTCGGGACCGGAGAAGAAGTCTCTTATATCCGGGTTTCTATTATATCCGGGTTTGGTCTGTTATATATACATTAACACAGGCTCTAATTTGGGACCAGAGAAAATCTCTCTTATATCCGGGTTTCTCTTATATCCGGGTTTCTCTTATATCCGGGTTACACTGTATTACATTTCATAGAATACATTATCGTTTGTTTAAAGGGGGAATAACTCAGTGTTATCACGGAAATACTTTTAGCACTCTCAATTAAAAAAAAATCAGCTATATATATATATAATACTAAAACTGTAATATCGTATGTATGTGTGTGTATGTGTATGTGTGTGTGTTCCCGAGATACATCTTACACGATACATAATACCCCAACAAATTTAGAAGCAGATTGTTGAAATTTGGCACTGCTGACTGCAGTGACAAATACTCTTAAAATTAGAGAAGGAATTCTTGAGCAAGAGCCGTTTATTTTGGTTTTTGTTTTCACGGTATTTGAATAGGAAATTCAGTGTTTATTTTTGATACACATTTTTATATAAACTTGCGTATATAAACAAACATTTGCATATTAGAATTTTTTTTATAAACAACTACTTGAAATGTGAAGAAGCTATATGTGCTACATGGCATGATGCACGCTGAGTTGCTGCCGTTACGTTTTTGAAATAAACACGAGAAAGAAACAAGCATGTATAATAAAAATATACTTATTATTTTGAAAAAGATTACAACTGTTTTAAGCTATTACTCCCAAATTTTACGAAATTTGTTAACTATGGAAGCGCAATGGAACAACAAACATTCTTTTAACCGTCTTTAGTAGTAATTATTAATTTAGAAACACAACGAAATCAAAAGTGAGTATAAAAAAAAGCAACTATCATCTATCATCTCTGGAAATGATTGTGAAATATAAATTATTTCAGATAGGCATTCAGAAATATTACTATCAATTCTTAATCATTGACAATATTTAACTTTCGTGCCCGTAAAAAGACAATGTGTCAAAAGGACGGTTAATCCCTTGACACCACTATCCCCCCTTTTTTTACTCCCTCGGCGATGTTTATTTACAAGATTATAAATAAATGCAAACCAATTAAAATACGATATTTAATATATTCATCTTTTATACAGATTCATTATTTAGCATTTTATAAAGAAACAAATTTGAAAAGAAATCTTTTTATTGAAAAAATTTAAAAAAAATTACAAAATTAACAAATGACAATGCAATATCTGCGATAAAAATTAAAGACATTCTGTAATTAAACATAAGGAAAACTTTGTCCATCCAAACAATAGGGAGAAACACACTCAAAATATTGCGGCTTTGTGGTCTCACCTAAAATTAAAAGAATCGAAAAGCTGAACCTAATTTCGTAAATTTATGTGGCGAGAGCAAATAAAAGAAATGCCGAGAAAATTCTTTTTCTTTCCAAAATTTCTAATTACAGTTACTCATCGTTATGTGTTTATTTAAATTTTCTTGTTCACAGACATTTTTGTAAATTTATAAATAAAATTTTCATATTTATTTCTTTATAAAATGGTAAATAATAAATATTTCCTTTTAGTTGGTTCACATATTTTTATGATTTTATAAATATAAAATTATTCTTTTAAATAAGCAATCTAATAAATAAATAGTGCTCAGCATCTTTGGTTTTGATTTCTCAAGAATAAAGAAAATCGCCGATCTGATCCCGAATTACCACCAATCAGGATGAATGAAGTTCCTCTCGTGGAAACATTATGCCTTGAAAGACTGTTGGGCCTCAAAATCATATCCGACCTCAAGTGGAACTCGATCCATTGCTAAGGATACAGGTAAAATGATCGGCACCTTGTGAGGCTCTAGTAAGACCCTCCTGCTATCCTCTACCTTTGCTAGAGCCAGATGAGGATAAGAATGGATTAGTGTTATCATATTTGGGTGGGAGCTGCCCAAACCTCACTCTCTAGCCTTGATAAAGTTCGAGCCCTTGTAGGTGACCAATTATTCCTCCCATCCTTCAATCTCTCTCCCACAGGCGGGATGTGACAAGCCACTCTACCGCTACTTCCATGGAAGGTGCTCGGACGAACAACATTCCCTGGGTCCGCTGAGCCCTCCGTGCCACTTCCATCGTAGCAAATCACACACTTTACCCCCGTATTCCATTGGTGAGAAGTAAGTTCCAGTCGAACAGCTTCTTCCCGCGAACTACTGCCCTGTTGAACCGACTTCCAACTGGACGTTTCCCCGATCACTACAATCTAAACGTGTTCAAGGTTAGGATTAACCGTTATGTTCGAATACTATACACATTATAAACGGCCTGCAAACGTTACCTCGAGTGGCCTTGTAAAGGGCCTTGTAAATAATGAACCTTTCTGTATAAAAAATGTATGAATTCACTTTCATATGTTTATTCTAATCGATTTTTAAAACAATTAACAGAAAAGACGGTGTAATAACAGGGTCAAGGGAAAAACCGTCCTTTTGTCACACCGTTTTGGGGGGGGTTGTTTTGTTTTTTGTTGTTGTTTTTTGGGGTTTTTTTTTCGTTTGTTTGTTTGTTTGTTTGCTTTTTTACTGGCAGGAAGGTTAAACACTTTCCTTCCTGATTTTTAGTGCAGGTTGAATAGTTAAATTGTGCTAAACTAAATTTTAATTAAAATATTAAAAAATATCGACATATATAATTTTTAAATTTTTTGCCATGACTAAATTCAAACTGTTTTTATTGATTTATATTTTATTGTTTATCAAACCTTTGCAGGTTATTTAAAGTCAGAAAATATTTTTAGATTCTCAAAATATTTTGGAGACAATAATGATTTACTGATACAAGTAGCACTATTTAACCTCTGGCTGGGTGAGGGGAAAAGAGATGGAATCATATCTTTCCCAACGGTATTTCCGCGTAAGCGAATATAACGAAACAGACTGGGACTGGAACTCGGCTATCCGATTTCTAATTCCGAGCTGTTATCCATTACACCACCCGCACATCCAAGTTTCCAGCACGTGATATTGCCAAGCGGTCATCCATCTCGGCTTAACTTGCGTAATTGTTCAGGGATCGACATTTCAACGTGATATGGCCTTAAGCTTTATTTAAATTTAAAGGAAATGTAAAAAAAAAACGGATCCAAATTGTCTTATCTATTCACCATGTTTTATAAGGATTAACATAGATGGAAGGACATAGATTAAAAGATCAGAAATAAATAGAAAAAATATATTTAGGATTTAAAGAATAATCAAGTTACATTTGAAATTTTACCTGAGCATTTCTGGTCGGAATAACTGATGTCATCGATGGCAATGTCTCCAGTGTAACTTGAACCACGCTTTCCCTCAAATGTGACCTTTTGTACACTGAAAATAAACGGTAATATATTACGAGTAGCAACAGATAAATCTAAAAAGTGATAAATTTAACGTAATTTACATTTATTTTCACAAAGATAGGTTCGCCTATCGCTCCTTCCCTATCTTTTGACCGGGAGTAGATATCCCTTGTTTCTGCTTGTTCTGGTATGATGAATACGAAATTAAAAAAATAACTCTCTTTGTCTTGATCTTTTCTACAGCTCGGATCCAATCCCTTTTGCTATTGGTCAAAATAAATTTTCGCATAAGCTCACGAATTTGAAAACAGTGAAGAAAAGAGAGTTATTTTTATTTCGTATTCTCATCACTTCTCTTCCCAGATTTGACGGAGTCTGTTTTAGTACATAAATAAGCCGATAATTTAATAGTAGTGGTATATATTGTCGCTTTGTAACCGACCTTCTAGATTTAGTTTTTGTTTTGCTTTGCTGTTTTGTCTCCATAGTCGTGTCGATCTCTGGTGAAGTATCTCTTTGTGATTGTATTGCTTTATCAATATCAGGCATTTTCACCGTTTCTGAGACAACCGCTGGTTTTAACCTGTCTATGGAAATTGACATCTGCGGTTGTAATAGTAAAGTACTTATTATTACGGGTAATTACTTTTTATGGGCCTGTGTATGGTGCTTCTAGAGATTTCCGATCTCTGTCAGTTCTAAGACTTACAAATTTACAGTCGTTTTGGTATATAAGGTTTTGGTGACGATTGTAAGTGTCCGAATGAATGATTCTCCATGTCAAACTTTCACATTTCCCACGCCAGGTCTTTTATTGCCAGGTTTAATATACCTCATCGTTATATCTTTTTCACATGGGTCTATACTTGGAACCTCTGCCTCTTGATTTAACTTTCTCTGCCTATTTATATAAAAAAAAAGATTTCACATCGGCTCATTACTTTTTTTTCTCAGTTTGTAAGCCGTTTCCTTTTCGATTGGTCAAAATAAATTTTGCATAGGCTCATTAAACTTTGCCTTGGTCTTTTATTCAGCACGCGGCCAATCGCTTTATCTATTGGTCAAAATAAATTTTCACTCTGAAAGTAAAAAATGAAAAACTTATCTGATCTAACTTATTATGGAGGAATTGATATTATTAAATCTATAACTTATAATAATATTTTTATTTACACAAGTAATATATATATATATGAAGTATGACACAAAGATCTACTTGAAATGCTAGGACAGATTGACGTATATAGGGAACATCTTAGAGTAATCTGTAACCTTACAAGGAAAAACTGGCTGCATCCGTGTTCAGTAAATATACAAAAAATCGAAAATTTAGGAAGATTTATTCTTGTAAATATGACTTATTAAAAATAATTAACGTTTTATGTCTATTAAATTTGTTGTTTATTTTCTAGTATGCGAATAACATTTCGCAAATTTGGCTGTTGTTGGACTATAAAATATCCAAAATTCATAGTGTCCATGCTTTAGGTTCGTATCAGTCAACATCAGGGATATGAGTAAGAAAAGAGAAATTAAGAAAATCAAATGAATTTAAAACAGCGTATTGCTTTAAAAAAGTGTTGTTATTTTCTGTTTAAAAGTTAAATCTAAATCAGCAGAATGTGAAAAGGCTATATATGTGAGCAACGAATTACGAGAACGTCTATCAATAAAAATGTATATATATATATATATATATATATATATATATATATATATATATATATATATATATATTCAATAAATTATTAAAAGTGTAAGTTAACTGGTTAGCTGACACACGATTTTCACATCGAAATGCTCATAGAACATTAGATAAATATCAATCTGCCAAACACGCGAATGCCTTAAATAAACACCTACTGTCTGTTTAAAAAATGCATTTCTGCGATATTGTAAAGTAAATATATTTGTTTCAAATCAGATTAATTATACTTTAATTCAGCTAATATTCCTCAAATAAAGTTTCAGAAAAGTATATTTTATTTTTAAAAAAGTTTTTAATAAACAGTATTACATAGCGATGAAAGATGACAAAAATGGTGCTAATCAACTATTTTAGGCAAAAAATTCCTTCCAGCCAATTTAAATTAGTTTAAATTAGTTTTTGTAATACAGCAAGTTGTAGTGAAAAGACAAATACACCAAAGCTTATTGGAAATATTAAATTTAATCTATTAGCTTGAAATTAAAACTAAAATACTAGGTTAGCCGGAAAGTCCAGAAGGAAGTGGAAAGAGAACAATTTCCAAGGAGTACTGCATTTCAAGCTTGTTCCATACGGTCCCGCCATCAACACTAAACTGTATCGCCAGTATAAAGTTCAGTTCCAAAACATGGTAATTTCTGTGTTGAGATGAATACATATTTTTAAATATTATATATGTGTGTGCGTGTCTGTGGGAGTGGGTGTGTGATAAAATACGCTATCCTGTATTTAAATGCAATAAAAAGAACAACAATAAACACTTACAATGAATGAATCGGAATGCATGCGTATTGCCAAAGATTGCCTTGGTTTCCCGTCCGTGTCCAAACGGTTTTATCAACGTTCTTTATTTTAACGATGACTTTGAGTGTTCCAATGGTTGCACCATACATGTGGTACCAAAAAGCAAAGCTTCTAATCCACATTGAGTCAAAACTCTTCTCCAATCGTGCTATGGCTCCAGCACGAGCAGGCGAAGCCTCAGTATACATATAATAACCTACAAAAACATATTTAGATGCATATTAATTAGAGATGACAAGAAAAGGTCGTTTTAAAATAAATCGAATCGGGAAAAAATACATCATAAAGATATGACGAAGGGCACCTCGGCGTGGTGTAATGGTTAACAAGCTTGTCTCGCTAGATCAGTTACAACTGAAAAGTGAGTTCGATCCTCACTAGATGCCCCATACTTTCGGCCTTGTGCCACATCTAAGCTACCATTGGAAAATAACTATAAAGATTATGACGAAGCGATTCATCATTATTGAAATCTGCTTTCATTGCGAGATTCAGCTTCTTTTTTTTCGACCTGTTTCTGAAGAGAAAAGGCCTTCGCCTTGACGCGTCGCTAGGATAATTTATTAAGTTAAATAAAAATAAAGTAGAATCTGCAATGTTATCGGTTCTGATCTGGCATCTCTGATTCAGTTACTTCCTCATTGTCCCAAAGAAGCTTCCTTGTGCCGTTTTAAAAAAAATATTTTCATGATAATCAGCTTTCCTCATTGGTACTTCGGCTTCACGAATTTCGTATTCTGTGATTGGATCATCGCCTTACTTCTGAAATAGCTAGATCTGACCATAAGATATATGCTAACAATTTCGTCTCTTGCTCTTCTGCTTGCAGAACACTCTTCTGCATTCTTGCTTTTCTGGAAACTATGACCTTCAAAAGGAAAAAGCAACGTCAATCGTCATCTGTCTTTTTAAAAGCTTTTTATTATCTCCTCAGCCTTGAGTTAGTCACATGGGATGCTTTGTTACCCCACTTTTTTTAAGTACTCATAATTCCTAGTAGACAATTTATTTCTTTTTCTCCCTCCACTACTCTCCTCAATCTGTGAGGATGTGTAGCACATGATGTGGCGCAGTTATTGCTCAGTTGTTGTGGGAGGAAGACGTCGCTTTGTCTTCTTTGGGATATCCTGTCCTCACACCTGATTTGCGAAGGTAATTTTGTCACGATTTAAATTTATATATATATATATATATCAGTCAGTTATGTGCTATGCGTGATACACTCGTAAGCGATCATATATCTTTCGATACAGGAATGACAAGTCAGATTTTTTTCCGCGGTAGGTTACCATTTCATTTTGCGATAAACCAGTCTATAGAACCCAGTCTGTCCTGCTACTTACCCATAGTATGGGGAGAAGAGTATTCATACCTTTCCCAAGGGTATTGGCATGTAAGTGAATGGAATTGACTGGAATTCGAACCCAATCCGAGCCGCTATCCATTACTCAACCGTGCCTCCTCTCTGTCTCTCTCTCTCTCTTTCACTATCTGTCTGTCTCTCTCTCTTTCTTTTTTCTCTCTCTCTCTCTCTCTCTCTCTATATATATATATATATATATATATATATATATATATATATATATATATATATATATTACTATTTCAGTCTTGTAATTATGAGTTTAACTAATGCAATAACTTTCTATTTTGTGGCTATTTTTGATGAATAAATCTTTTCTCCATTATTGTATTGGTGTGTTTCACCTACAATTTACAACATATGTTTATACAACAAATTTATTATAATTTTCACTTCAGTGAATCATTATATCTTGAGTTCAAGTTTTGATTTAATGTACATTGTAACAGAGATCACCTGTTATGTTATTTTTTCAGCGTACGACAGTATTTTACAGAATTGTAACAAAAATAAGCATTTTTATATTGGGTTGTGTAAACATGCCAGGGTACTATCTATTTTCGATGCCTTGTCGGCTGGGTTTCAGAATAAGCCGACTGCACTTCTGTAGAGGGGCAAGAGACCTCACCACCACAATGAGGCGTCCTGGATATGACGATAAAGTGCAGCGATGCCTCTGTTCAGGGTGTTTTGAGGAGCGTGGGACCACCTCTAAATTGCTGGTGTTCCCAGGTCCACTCTGACTCGGGGTGGTAGCACCTGTTAGGGTCCCAACTATGGGCAAATAGTTAACCCCCAAACTGGAGTCGAATCACTATGAAAGTGTAAAAATACCAGCAATGCATTTTTGAAAAAATATTACCAGCAATACATTTTTTAAATAAAATATTGCCAGCAATAAAAATCTTGTCGGCATTAAATAAAGCATTGAGGTTGCTATGCTGTAAAACACACCAGAACAAACAATGTCCATTTTCGAAAATCCGAAGTCTCTAATGCAGGGTTAATAACATTTTTCAATTTATTTTCGAATTAAGCTACTTGTGTCATATTGCCTTCATCGCTTTGCTTGGTTTGTTCGTACGTTCTTTTTCTTTTACACTTTTTTTCTTTTCTTTCCTTTTCTATAATTTTTTTTTTACACTTTCTTTCTGTATTTTTTAATTTTTCATTTACTCTCTCTTCCTTCTTCCTTTCGCACTTTTATTTTTCCTTTAATCTTTTTTTTTTTTGTTTTCCGCCTTTCTCTCTTTCTTTTTCTTTCATTCTGCCTCTCCTTCTTTTCCCCCTTTACTCACTCTTTCTTGATTTGTTATTTTTTTACATTTTTGCTTTCTTTCTCTTTTACATTTACCTTTTTCTTTCTTTCTTTATTTCTTTCACCTTCATCCTTTTTCCTTTAGTTACTCTTTCTCTCTTGAATCATTCTTTCTTTTTTGATTTACTTTTTCTTTTTCCTTTTCCTCTTCTTTAATTCTGTTCTTTAAACTGTTCTTTTTTTCTTTTATTATTTTCCGTTCTTTCTTTTTTTTCTTTTTATTATTTACCTCCTTTAACCATTTATTCTTTCTTTTTTTCTCTTTCTTTTTGCCTTTACATATTCTTCCCTTCTTTATCCTTTACTCATTCGTTCTGCTTTGTCTTTCTTTTAGTATCTTGCTTTTTCCATTGTTTTTCTTTCTCTTATATTTTTCTTTTCATTTTTATTTCTTTTTTCCTGAATCTTTTTCTTTTATCATTTCTTCGTTATTTTTATTTTTTCTTTATTCTATTTTATTTCTCTCTGTCTTTTCCCTTCATTCTGCATTTCAATCATTTTCACGCTTTCTTTTCTCTTTTCTCATTCTTTCTTTCGTCCATTCTATATTTCTAACACCACCACTCTTTTTCTTTTATTCACTCACTCTTTCATAAATCGTTCCTTTTTTTCATTTTTCTTTCTCCTATACTCTTTCGTCTTTTTCTTTTACGTTTTTCTTTCTTCCCTTCATCAATATGAATTTCAATTGATCAACAAAAAAGCAATAAAATTGCATTACCTTTTTGAGCTGCTGTTGTTGTTCTCCAATATCCAGATGTCGTTGTTCCATAACCTGTAACGCACACAAATATACAACGAATTAAACATACAACGTAACAAATGAATTTTTTAGAAAATTCCAAGTTTCTTCATTTCAATATACTTTCAAATATGCCGGTAATTTATTTAAATGTTACAGTATATACAGTTTCCGCTTCCTTCTTTTTTTTTACTTTCTTTTCTCAGGCTTTCTTTCTTTTTCATCATTGTTTCTTTATCCCTTATTCATTCCTTCTTTCTTTCATTTTCTTATACTCTGTCTTTCTTTTTCCATTGCATTTTATTACTTTTTATTTTTCGTTCATTTTTCTTTCTCTCTTTCTGTCTTTCTTTAATTGTTCTTTTGTCCTGAAATATTTACACTTGCAATAACAAACATAAGTATTAATGCAGTTCTTTAATAAAAGAAGTAAGAGGATATAAAAGAAAAGATCCAAACATGACAAAGTTTTCCATTTCACTGGCGCAGACGTTAAACGCATGAGAGCATTATCGCTGCCTGTTTCCTTCTTTCTCTCTCTATCGCTCTCTCTCTCTCTCTCTCTCTCTTACTTATTTAGTATTTTTTTTCTTTTTTATCACTACACTCAACGTTTTTTCTCACAAAATCCAGCGTTTTTTATATATCTTTTTTCTTTCGTCTTTATTCGGAACCAAAATGGAATGGTTCAGTATTTAGCTGAGTGCAGCATATTGCAGCTGCATGCGTCAAAAGGACTCTGGAAAACAACAATTTCCTAATGAAACATTTTGGTAAAAAAACAAATTTGTGTTTATTTTAGTCGGTAGGCTATATGAGATCTTAACCCTTATGAGATTATTTAATGTTGACTTTTCGTGTTTAAGGCCGGTGAGGGTCGAATTCTCGACTCAGTATTAATGGTCAATCACACTAGCCAAATCGCATTTAGTGATTTATCTCTGGTACAAATGCTTCAAACACGGACGGGCGACAATAAGAGTTCTACTCTACCATCAAGCGACTTGATACCAAAAACAATTGTAAAAAGCTACGGAATGGAAGCAAACACTGATGTTTTGGTTAAGCAACCTTCATCCTTTTACAACTGAAGGGTTCATTCCTCTCTCTCTCTCTCTCTCTCTCTCTCACACACACACACACACACACACACACACGCACACACACACGCGCACATTGTCTCTACCAACATATCTTTTCTGTTTTGTCATATAGTATCAATTAGTCTTTCAGTAAGCAATAAAAAATTTTCTTACTTCGTGATGGCGTTGTTCTCCAATATCCAGGTGTCGTTCCATAACCTGTAACGCACACAAATATACAACGAATTAATCATACAAAGCCACAAATGAACTTTTTAGAAAATTCCATGTTTCTGTATTCCAATATCCTTTAAAATGTGCTAGTAATTTATTTAAATGTTGCAATATATAAAGCTTCCGCTTCCTGTTCCCTCCATCCTCTCTTTCCTTTTTCTGTCACTATTTCTTACTTTCTTTTTACTTTGATCATTCTTTCTTTCCTTTTCATTATTGTTTCTTTTTCCCTTACTCATTACTTCTTTCTTTCATTTTCTTACACCCTCTCTTTCTTTTCCATTACACTTTCTTTTTTTTTATTTTCCTTCTTTTTTATTTTCCTTTATTTTTTCTTTCTCCCGTTCCATCTTTCTTTCTTCAATTATTCTTTTGTCCTTAAATATTCAAGCTTGCATTAACGATCATATGTACGTATGAAGGTCATTGTTTAAAGAAGTAAGAGGGTACAAATGAAATGATTTAAAGTGACAAGGTTTTCCATTTCCCTGACGTAGATGTTACATGCATGAGTGCATTATTGTCATTTCTTTTTCTTTCTTTCTTTCTTTCTTTCTGTCTATCTTTCTTTCTTTCTTCTTTTTTTCTTCATTTCTTACCTATTAAGTATGATTTTTCTTTCTCACTATATCAAACAGTATCTTTGATATACAACAATCAAAACAGAATAGTCCATTATTAATCTCAGCGCATGTAATGCATTTTTTTATTTAATAAATATTTTATAATTTTATTAATTAGATATTACGTTTTTGTTTGCAATATATTTCCATCAAACTTCTCAAAATTTATTTTCTATCTATCTTTTTCTACATTTTTTCTCCGGTATTTCTCTACAAAACGGAATGGGTCATTATTTATCTTAGACAATGGCAGGGCGTAATGCATTTCTTCCTAATTAACAGAGTAACAGGCGGAAGTATAATATGATAGTCTCCAAATGTTCGTTGAGTTGCACTTGCACGTGCCAGCTGAACACAATCCGGGAATCCCTGTGGTAAAACATTCATTTCTTAAGGAAACGTTTGTTAAAAACAAATTTGTCTTCATCTAGTCAGTTGGCTTTACGAGATTTTGACCTTGGTCCGATTATTTAATGTTAACTTTTTTGTGTTTAAGGCCGGTGAGAGTCGAATTCTCGACTCAGTACTAATGGTCAATCAGACTAGCCAAATCACATTTAGTGATTTATCTCTGGTACAAATGCTTCAAACACGGACGGGCGACAATAAGAGTTCTCTCTACCATCAAGCGACTTGATACCAAAAACAATTGTAAAAAGCTACGGAATGGAAGCAAACACTGATGTTTTGGTTAAGCAACCTTCATCCTTTTACAACTGAAGCGTTCATTCCACTCTCTCTCTCTCTCTCTCTCTCTCTCTCTCTCTCTCTCTCTCTCTCTCTCACTCACACACACACACGCGCACATTGTCTCTACCAACATATCTTTTCAGTTTTATCATATAGTATCAATTAGTCTTTCAGTAAGCAATAAAAACTTTTCTTACTTCGTGATGACGTTGTTCTCCAATATCCAGGCGTCGTTCCATAACCTGTAACGCACACAAATATACAACGAATTAATCATACAAAGCCACAAATGAACTTTTTAGAAAATTCCATGTTTCTGTATTCCAATATCCTTTAAAATGTGCTAGTAATTTATTTAAATGTTGCAATATATAAAGCTTCCCTTCCTGTTCCTCCATCCTCTCTTTCCTTTTCTGTCACTATTTCTTACTTTCATTTTTTTTACTTTGATCATTCTTTCTTTCCTTTTTCATTATTGTTTCTTTTCCCTTACTCATTACTTCTTTCTTTCATTTTCTTACACCCTCTCTTTCTTTTCCATTACACTTTCTTACTTTTTTATTTTTCCTTCTTTTTTTTATTTTCCTTTATTTTTCTTTCTCCCGTTCCATCTTTCTTTCTTCAATTATTCTTTTGTCCTTAAATATTCAAGCTTGCATTAACGATCATATGTACGTATGAAGGTCATTGTTTAAAAAAGTAAGAGGGTACAAATGAAATGATTTAAAGTGACAAGGTTTTTCCATTTCCCTGACGTAGATGTTACATGCATGAGTGCATTATTGTCACCTCTTTCTTTCTTTCTTTCTTTCTTTTCTGTCTATCTTTCTTTTTCTTTCTTCTTTTCTTCATTTCTTACCTATTAAGTATGATTTTTTCTTTCTCACTATATCCAAACAGTATCTTTGATATACAATTTTCTTCCTCTCTCCTCACAATCAAAACAGAATAGTCCATTATTAATCTCAGCGCATGTAATCTTTTTTTTTTTATTTAATAAATATTTTATAATTTTTTATTAATTAGATATTACGTTTTTGTTTGCAATATATTTCCATCAAACTTCTCAAAATTTATTTTCTATCTATCTTTTCTACATTTTTTCTCCGGTATTTCTCTACAAAACGGAATGGGTCATTATTTATCTTAGACAATGGCAGGGCGTAATGCATATGCTAACTTCCTAATTAACAGAGTAACAGGCGGAAGTATAATATGATAGTCTCCAAATGTTCGTTGAGTTGCACTTGCACGTGCCAGCTGAACACAATCGGGGAATCCCTGTGGTAAAACATTCATTTCTTAAGGAAACGTTTTGTTAAAACAAATTTGTCTTCATCTAGTCAGTTGGCTTTTTACGAGATTTTGACCTTGGTCCGATTATTTAATGTTAACTTTTTTTGTGTTTTAAGGCCGGTGAGAGTCGAATTCTCGACTCAGTACTAATGGTCAATCAGACTAGCCAAATCACATTTAGTGATTTATCTCTGGTACAAAGAGCTTCAAACACGGACGGGCGACAATAAGAGTTCTACTCTACCATAAAGCGACTTGATACCAAAAACAATTGTAAAAAGCTACGGAATGGAAGCAAACACTGATGTTTTGGTTAAGCAACCTTCATCCTTTTACAACTGAAGCGTTCATTCCACTCTCTCTCTCTCTCTCTCTCTCTCTCTCTCTCTCTCTCTCTCTCTCTCTCTCACGCACACACACACACGCGCACATTGTCTCTACCAACATATCTTTTCAGTTTTATCATATAGTATCAATTAGTCTTTCAGTAAGCAATAAATTTTTTTTCTTACTTCGTGATGACGTTGTTCTCAATATCAGGCGTCGTTCCATAACCTGTAACGCACACAAATATACAACGAATTAATCATACAAAGCCACAAATGAACTTTTTTAGAAAATTCCATGTTTCTGTATTCAATATCCTTTAAAATGTGCTAGTAATTTATTTAAATGTTGCAATATATAAAGCTTCCGCTTCCTGTTCCCTCCATCCTCTCTTTCCTTTTTTCTGTCACTATTTCTTACTTTCTTTTTTACTTTGATCATTCTTTCTTTCCTTTTCATTATTGTTTCTTTTTCCCTTACTCATTACTTCTTTCTTTCATTTTCTTACACCCTCTCTTTCTTTTCCATTACACTTTCTTACTTTTTATTTTCCTTCTTTTTATTTTCCTTTATTTTTCTTTCTCCCGTTCCATCTTTCTTTCTTCAATTATTCTTTTGTCCTTAAATATTCAAGCTTGCATTAACGATCATATGTACGTATGAAGGTCATTGTTTAAAGAAGTAAGAGGGTACAAATGAAATGATTTAAAGTGACAAGGTTTTCCATTTCCCTGACGTAGATGTTACATGCATGAGTGCATTATTGTCACCTCTTTCTTTCTTTCTTTCTTTCTTTCTGTCTATCTTTCTTTCTTTCTTCTTTTCTTCATTTCTTACCTATTAAGTATGATTTTTCTTTCTCACTATATCCAAACAGTATCTTTGATATACAATTTTCTTCCCTCTCTCCTCACAATCAAAACAGAATAGTCCATTATTAATCTCAGCGCATGTAATGCATTTTTTTTTTTATTTAATAAATATTTTATAATTTTATTAATTAGATATTACGTTTTTGTTTTGCAATATATTTCCATCAAACTTTCAAAATTTATTTTCTATCTATCTTTTTCTACATTTTTTTCTCGGTATTTCTCTACAAAACGGAATGGGTCATTATTTATCTTAGATATTAATGGCAGGGCGTAATGCATATGCTAACTTCCTAATTAACAGAGTAACAGGCGGAAGTATAATATGATAGTCTCCAAATGTTCGTTGAGTTGCACTTGCACGTGCCAGCTGAACACAATCCGGGAATCCCTGTGGTAAAACATTCATTTCTTAAGGAAACGTTTTGTTAAAAACAAATTTGTCTTCATCTAGTCAGTTGGCTTTACGAGATTTTTGACCTTGGTCCGATTATTTAATGTTAACTTTTTTGTGTTTAAGGCCGGTGAGAGTCGAATTCTCGACTCAGTACTAATGGTCAATCAGACTAGCCAAATCACATTTAGTGATTTATCTCTGTACAAATGCTTCAAACACGGACGGGCGACAATAAGAGTTCTACTCTACCATCAAGCGACTTGATACCAAAAACAATTGTAAAAGCTACGGAATGGAAGCAAACACTGATGTTTGGTTAAGCAACCTTCATCCTTTTACAACTGAAGCGTTCATTCCTCTCTCTCTCTCTCTCTCTCTCTCTCTCTCTCTCTCTCTCTCTCTCACGCACACACGCGCACATTGTCTCTACCAACATATCTTTCAGTTTTATCATATAGTATCAATTAGTCTTTCAGTAAGCAATAAAAACTTTTCTTACTTCGTGATGACGTTGTTCTCCAATATCCAGGCGTCGTTCCATAACCTGTAACGCACACAAATATACAACGAATTAATCATACAAAGCCACAAATGAACTTTTTAGAAAATTCCATGTTTCTGTATTCCAATATCCTTTAAAATGTGCTAGTAATTTATTTAAATGTTGCAATATATAAAGCTTCCTTCCTGTTCCCTCCATCCTCTTTTCCTTTTTCTGTCACTATTTCTTACTTTCTTTTTACTTTGATCATTCTTTCTTTCCTTTTCATTATTGTTTTTTTTCCCTTACTCATTACTTCTTTCTTTCATTTTCTTACACCCTCTTTCTTTTCCATTACACTTTCTTACTTTTTTATTTTCCTTCTTTTTTTTATTTTCCTTTATTTTTTCTTTCTCCCGTTCCATCTTTCTTTCTTCAATTATTCTTTTTGTCCTTAAATATTCAAGCTTGCATTAACGATCATATGTACGTATGAAGGTCATTGTTTAAAAAGTAAGAGGGTACAAATGAAATGATTTAAAGTGACAAGGTTTTCCATTTCCCTGACGTAGATGTTAATGCATGAGTGCATTATTGTCACCTCTTTCTTTCTTTCTTTCTTTCTTTCTGTCTATCTTTCTTTCTTTCTTCTTTTCTTCATTTCTTACCTATTAAGTATGATTTTTCTTTTCTCACTATATCCAAACAGTATCTTTGATATACAATTTTCTTCCCTCTCCTCACAATCAAAACAGAATAGTCCATTATTAATCTCAGCGCATGTAATGCATTTTTTTTTATTTAATAAATATTTCATAATTTTATTAATTAGATATTACGTTTTTGTTTGCAATATATTTCCATCAAACTTCTCAAAATTTATTTTCTATCTATCTTTTACATTTTCTCCGGTATTTCTCTACAAAACGGAATGGGTCATTATTTATCTTAGACAATGGCAGGGCGTAATGCATATGCTAACTTCCTAATTAACAGAGTAACAGGCGGAAGTATAATATGATAGTCTCCAAATGTTCGTTGAGTTGCACTTGCACGTGCCAGCTGAACACAATCTGGGAATCCCTGTGGTAAAACATTCATTTCTTAAGGAAACGTTTTGTTAAAAACAAATTTGTCTTCATCTAGTCAGTCATTTTTACGAGATTTTGACCTTGGTCCGATTATTTAATGTTAACATTTTTTTGTGTTTAAGGCCGGTGAGAGTCGAATTCTCGACTCAGTACTAATGGTCAATCAGACTAGCCAAATCACATTTAGTGATTTATCTCTGGTACAAATGCTTCAAACACGGACGGGCGACAATAAAGAGTTCTACTCTACCATCAAGCGACTTGATACCAAAACAATTGTAAAAAGCTACGGAATGGAAGCAAACACCAACCTTCATCCTTTTACAACTGAAGCGTTCGTTCATTCCTCTCTCTCTCTCTCTCTCTCTCTCTCTCTCTCTCTCTCTCTCTCTCTCTCACACACACACGCGCACATTGTCTCTACCAACATATCTTTTCAGTTTTATCATATAGTATCAATTAGTCTTTCAGTAAGCAATAAAAACTTTTCTTACTTCGTGATGACGTTGTTCTCCAATATCCAGGCGTCGTTCCATAACCTGTAACGCACACAAATATACAACGAATTAATCATACAAAGCCACAAATGAACTTTTAGAAAATTCCATGTTTCTGTATTCCAATATCCTTTAAAATGTGCTAGTAATTTATTTAAATGTTGCAATATATAAAGCTTCCGCTTCCTGTTCCCTCCATCCTCTCTTTCCTTTTTCTGTCACTATTTCTTACTTTCTTTTTACTTTGATCATTCTTTCTTTCCTTTTCATTATTGTTTCTTTTTCCCTTACTCATTACTTCTTTCTTTCATTTTCTTACACCCTCTCTTTCTTTTCCATTACACTTTCTTACTTTTTATTTTCCTTCTTTTTATTTTCCTTTATTTTTCTTTCTCCCGTTCCATCTTTCTTTCTTCAATTATTCTTTTTGTCCTTAAATATTCAAGCTTGCATTAACGATCATATGTACGTATGAAGGTCATTGTTTAAAAAGTAAGAGGGTACAAATGAAATGATTTAAAGTGACAAGGTTTTCCATTTCCCTGACGTAGATGTTACATGCATGAGTGCATTATTGTCACCTCTTTCTTTCTTTCTTTCTTTCTTTCTGTCTATCTTTCTTTCTTTCTTCTTTTCTTCATTTCTTACCTATTAAGTATGATTTTTCTTTCTCACTATATCCAAACAGTATCTTTGATATACAATTTTCTTCCCTCTCTCCTCACAATCAAAACAGAATAGTCCATTATTAATCTCAGCGCATGTAATGCATTTTTTTTTTATTTAATAAATATTTTATAATTTTATTAATTAGATATTACGTTTTTGTTTGCAATATATTTCCATCAAACTTCTCAAAATTTATTTTCTATCTATCTTTTTCTACATTTTTCTCCGGTATTTCTCTACAAAACGGAATGGGTCATTATTTATCTTAGACAATGGCAGGGCGTAATGCATATGCTAACTTCCTAATTAACAGAGTAACAGGCGGAAGTATAATATGATAGTCTCCAAATGTTCGTTGAGTTGCACTTGCACGTGCCAGCTGAACACAATCCGGGAATCCCTGTGGTAAAACATTCATTTCTTAAGGAAACGTTTTGTTAAAAACAAATTTGTCTTCATCTAGTCAGTTGGCTTTACGAGATTTTGACCTTGGTCCGATTATTTAATGTTAACTTTTTGTGTTTAAGGCCGGTGAGAGTCGAATTCTCGACTCAGTACTAATGGTCAATCAGACTAGCCAAATCACATTTAGTGATTTATCTCTGGTACAAATGCTTCAAACACGGACGGGCGACAATAAGAGTTCTACTCTACCATCAAGCGACTTGATACCAAAAACAATTGTAAAAAGCTACGGAATGGAAGCAAACACTGATGTTTTGGTTAAGCAACCTTCATCCTTTTACAACTGAAGCGTTCATTCCACTCTCTCTCTCTCTCTCTCTCTCTCTCTCTCTCTCTCTCTCACGCACACACACACACGCGCACATTGTCTCTACCAACATATCTTTTCAGTTTTATCATATAGTATCAATTAGTCTTTCAGTAAGCAATAAAAACTTTTTCTTACTTCGTGATGACGTTGTTCTCCAATATCCAGGCGTCGTTCCATAACCTGTAACGCACACAAATATACAACGAATTAATCATAAAAAAGCCACAAATGAACTTTTAGAAAATTCCATGTTTCTGTATTCCAATATCCTTTAAAATGTGCTAGTAATTTATTTAAATGTTGCAATATATAAAGCTTCCCTTCCTGTTCCCTCCATCCTCTTTCCTTTTTCTGTCACTATTTCTTACTTTCTTTTTACTTTGATCATTCTTTCTTTCCTTTTCATTATTGTTTCTTTTTCCCTTACTCATTTACTTCTTTCTTTCATTTTCTTACACCTCTCTTTCTTTTCCATTACACTTTCTTACTTTTTTTTTCCTTCTTTTTTTTTTTTCCTTCATTTTTCTTTCTCCCGTTCCATTTTCTTTCTTCAATTATTCTTTTGTCCTTAAATATTCAAGCTTGCATTAACGATCATATGTACGTATGAAGGTCATTGTTTAAAGAAGTAAGAGGGTACAAATGAAATGATTTAAAGTGACAAGGTTTTCCATTTCCCTGACGTAGATGTTACATGCATGAGTGCATTATTGTCACCTCTTTCTTTCTTCCTTTCTTTCTTTCTTCCTTTCTTTCTTTCTTTCTTTCTTTCTTTCTTTCTTTCTTTCTTTCTGTCTATCTTTCTTTCTTTCTTCTTTTCTTCATTTCTTACCTATTAAGTATGATTTCCCTTTCTCACTAGATCCAAACAGTATCTTTGATATACATTTTTCTTCCTCTCTCCTCACAATCAAAACAGAATAGTCCATTATTAATCTCAGCGCATGTAATGCATTTTTTTTTATTTAATAAATATTTTATAATTTTATTAATTAGATATTACGTTTTTGTTTGCAATATATTTCCATCAAACTTCTCAAAATTTATTTTCTACCTATCTTTTTCTACATTTTTCTCCGGTATTTCTCTACAAAACGGAATGGGTCATTATTTATCTTAGACAATGGCAGGGCGTAATGCATATGCTAACTTCCTAATTAACAGTAACAGGCGGAAGTATAATATGATAGTCTCCAAATGTTCGTTGAGTTGCACTTGCACGTGCCAGCCGAACACAATCCGGGAATCCCTGTGGTAAAACATTCATTTCCTAAGGAAACGTTTTGTTAAAAACAAATTTGTCTTCATCTAGTCAGTTGGCTTTACGAGATTTTGACCTTGGTCCGATTATTTAATGTTAACTTTTTGTGTTTAAGGCCGGTGAGAGTCGAATTCTCGACTCAGTATTAATGGTCAATCAGACTAGCCAAATCGCATTTAGTGATTTATCTCTGGTACAAATGCTTCAAACACGGACGGGCGACAATAAGAGTTCTACTCTACCATCAAGCGACTTGATACCAAAAACAATTGTAAAAGCTACGGAATGGAAGCAAACACTGATGTTTGGTTAGCAACCTTCATCCTTTTTACAACTGAAGCGTTCATTCCACTCTCTCTCTCTCCCTCCCTCCCTCCCCCCTGTCTCTCTCCTTCACACACACACGCACTGTCTATACCCACATATCTTTTCAGTTTTGTCTCTCTCTCATTCTTTCTCACCCACACTCTCTTCTACCTATCTTTTAATTTCTGTTATACACTATCAATTGCTCTCTCATTATGCAATAAAAAATATGTCTTGCCTTTTGATGTTGTATAGTTCATGGCTCCAAATGTACGTCCTGTAATGCACGTAATATATACCAAAGAATTAAATATAAAATTTAATAAATGAACGGTTTAGAAAACGAACTTGATTGGTTAAACAACAATAATCTATCTATTTATATATATATATATATATATATATATATATATATATATATATATATATATGTATGTATTTATGTATGTATGTATGTATGTATTACTTCCCTCTCCCTTCTCCCTTACAATCTTACTTACAATAACCTTCTTGAGTGCCTCTTGGGTATTTTATTGGGTGAACTGTCAGTAAAGAAAATGGTTTTCAACGACATTTGTTTCATAAAGTGGCTCTCCCGAACATAATCAATTTGAAAGTTAGTAGACATTCTGAAGAAGCTTTAGATTTGCAGGCGGCATTTTTTTAAAAATCATTTCATTCCAAGTAAGGCAATAAAGTCACTAAGATGCAAATGGTTACCGAATGTTAAGAGAATATGAGAAAAATGATATTAAGGAGAGACAACGATAAAAGAACAAGAATTAAGAAGGCAGAAGATAACGATTGAAACTTTTACGGATCAAAGATAACGGAAGAAAGTTTCACAAACGAGAAGTACGAGAGAATAAACTGTTAGCATAGAACTTTCGATTGCATCCCAGCCATTTCAATTATACAGGATGGTCGGAAAGTCTTGTCAACTCTCCATAATATAATTTCAGATGGTTGACACGAGCTCCTACAGACCTTCTCAACGTTTGACAGCATCAATGAAAGTGAATTAATTGAATCCAGTACATCTTTGTATTACTGTATTACTCGTTCTTCTATTGGTCTCATTGGTGACAAGACTTTCGGACCACCCTGTATGATGATGATGAAACTTTGGCATCAATCTAGTACTACTTTTAAATTCATAAAGTCTAGCTACCATAGATGAAATTTGAAATTTATTGATACTGTGTAGTCTGTTTCGATTGAACACATATAGTGGCTCACTGATGAACAACTCCAAAAATTGATTTCAAAGCAGGAATAATAAATTTGACATTAATGTCTTGTTTATAAATTTACCGTCATTATATTATAATGTTTCCAAATTTATGCACAAAACGATTATTTTTGAGTGGGTGTGTGCTGTAATTATAAGTTTTAATTACGATATAATGTTTATTGAAGCTCTAAATGCAAAACCTCTGGACCATGTTCTGTACTTCTGTAGAACTACATTTCTGTTGCTTCAAGTCTCTTCTTCATCTGTAAGAAGATCCAACGTTGACTGCCATATAGCAGGGCTGATATTACGCAACAGTTCAATACTCTTTTCTTTGCTTGTGTTGCTTCATGTCCTTTTAATCTGTGAGGAGATTGTCCAGCATTCACTGCCATATAGGAGGACCGATATTACGTAACAGTTCAGTACTCTTTTCTTTGTTTCGGTTGCTTCAAGTCTCTTCTTCATCTGTGAGGAGATTGTCCAGCATTCACTGCCATATAGGAGGACTAATATTACGTAAGAATTCAGTACTCTTTTCTTTGTTTCTGTTGCTTCAAGTATCTTCTTCATCTTAGGGGAGATTGTCCAGCATTCACTGCCATATAGGAGGAATGATATTACGTAACAGTTCAGTACTCTTTTCTTTGTTTCTGTTGCTTCAAGTCTCTTCTTCATCTCTGAGGAGATTGTCCAGTATTCACTCCCATATAGTAAAACTGATACTATGTAACAGTTCAGACCTCTTGTCTTTGTTTCTAATGATTTTTTCTTTTTCTTAATACTCTGCTAATTTATGTCTGTCTATTTCAGTGTTGCCCTTTCCATTCCTCTGTTAAAACACTTTCTACCTTTCCCAAGAAGTTGTGGCATTTCACATATAATAAAGAAAGGAATTTGTGAAGTTATCAACACTTGCGTCCTGAAGGGACATAGTATAAACAATAAGCATATTGAATTAGTAAAACCTCTTACTTTTGGAGCATTCTTCTTACATATTTTCATTGCCAGTTTTAATCTCTCTCTCTCTCTCTCTCTCGCTCTCTCTCTCTCTCTCTCTCTCTCTCTCTCTCTCTCTTTAAACCTATCAAATACTCTATACTTCTACCTATATATAAAACTTCCGTTAGTCCATCTGTCCGTCACACCCTCGACAATAGCCATACATTGACCGATCGAAACCATATTTCGGGGAAAAGGGCAAACAGGTAAGGGTGTACAAAGTACAGTTAGTTTCACTAAGGTGCATAGCTTAGTACGATAAATTTTCATTAATTTTTTTTTTTTTTTTTGAGAAATGAAGTATTTTATTATTTAACATACAAAATACTCCCACTATTTTAAAAACAATTTAATAATTAAAATAAGAAATTTAATAAAAATGCAATATTGTTTTTTGTCTATATTTTCTTTAAGTTTTTATATATACAATAATCCAGTTTCCAGCTTGCTCTGTGTTTACAAGAACTATAAACAAATCCCAAGGCCAAGCGCTTTTGAAATTGAAATTTGGTTCTAGAAAGAAATATTTATGCATGGCCAGTTGTAAGAAATCCTAAGAATTTATTCTTCGCTGTTAAAAAGGGAAAAAATTATTAAAAATATCGTTTACTATGATATCTTATTAAATTAAATTAAATTAAAAGAAATTAAAGAAATTATTAAATCGCGAAGTAGGGTTTTTGTCAACATATTTTTCCAAATAAATTAGCATATTCAAATTTAATCGATTGGTTTGTAACTTTTAACGAAACATAGAGTTTGTAAATCTTATACAAAAATGTTAGCAATAGCTTCAACAATACTAAATACAGAATTTCAACACTCGTTAGCGTGTTGCAAAAATTCTAGTAATAATAAATATGCATTGCCTGATGCTGGTCTCCATGTAGTCCAGTAGGGTTGAATTGGGGATATACCTGAAACATATGAAATAAACAATGGCTTTAATCAATATACAACAATATGTTCCTTTCTTTATTTCCTGGTTCATACTTCAATTCAAATTCATATTCAATTAAGCTTTCATATTCAAACATATCAAATATTTGTCCGATACATACAATAATGAACTATATTAAATGATCTCGTAACATTTATAAGAATCGTTAAAGTGTACGTTTTTTTATTATTTCAGACTTTCTAAAATACTTCTAAGAAGTAACCATAATTATCCGTGTATAATACGCACTTATCCCATATTTTAGGACTAGTACGTTAAATGTGTGTATTATACACGAGAAATAAATATTAACCATTTTTCCAGATATGTGCGTCGCCGTATTTGTGACGTTATGAAGATTTTTTATGTTCCTTCACAGACATTAAGCACATTTTAGTCTTTGCAAAGACAGGCGTCATGAGAGATTCAAACTATATTGTCTTCGTTATCATCGACTAATAGATACGCTAATTAAAAAAGAACTTAATTCACTAGGTCGAAAATACCTCGAGAGAGTCCTGAGAGAGAAGGAACTTCCCGTCGAAGTAGATGCTGTGGCTGTAGTATCTGTTCCGTGCCGGAGATCTTCCCTCCCACTCCCCCGTTGCGTTGACAGAACCCTCGGTCTTGACCCGTAACATCTGTTCCGTAGCAATGGTGTGTCCGGCTATAACTAGCTTAGACAAACTAAGACCAGCTTAGGTAAGCTATGACCAGCTTCTACGTTAAAAACCGGCCTTGTGTTATAACCTAGCTTAGTGGTTGGGGGGATTCAAGGTAAATCTCAGGATGAGAGATGAGGAGAAACGCAGGCCATCTAGTGCTTGTGACCAGGGCGTTTGGATAGTTTCTGTATCGAGTTACAGTCCATTTATTTTTATTCTGCCAACTGGATGCTAGTTGGAAATTTTCCTGTCTACTCTTACATCCGGTATTCCTGGCCTTTATTACTTTCGGTTACCAGAGCCTCTTATCTCCCGGCATTCTTACTTTACTTCCGCTGTTTCTGACCTGCGCATACACCGGCCACATCAGCTCCCTACTTCCGGTATTCCTATTTCAGCCTAACTCTCTTAGTTTCATAGGAAGTTGCTGCATGCATATTGTCCAGACTTCAAACACTTGGATTAAATACTACGGAAATTCCATCTTTGGACCAGCAACTACCCGGATATTAACGTAATATTGGCTATTATTTCCTCGCCGCTTCGGAAAAGGGCCTTATTGTAGCCTATCGCTACTCCGTTCACGTGATCATGGCGGACGCAATATTTCTTCCTCCACTTGATACATTGCTTGTTCATGTTCCTTTAATCGAAACACTACTTTTGTATATTATTTTAAATAAATTTTGTATTAATTTAATTTTGTCGTTTTGTTGTCCTCTTGTTAACATGTCTGATTCACTTATATTTTTTAAAATGCTAGCGGGCCTCCTGTGACTACCTTTATTTTGCGCACACAAGCCTATTTTATATTTCGCCCCCTCCGGGTGTTCCACTACAATATATATGATAAAAATATAGTTTTAAATTAAACTATATTTATTGGTTAAGGTGCTCAGAATCAGGAATAGAGCGTATGTAAATATAAAAGCGACACCTATGTTTTGAAGTTTGCATTTAAGCATGAAATAGCCTGTCGCCGTTGAGTACTGACAACAATGTATATATATATATATATATATATATATATATATATATATATATATATATATATTTAGTTGAATGGACATGAAGTTGTAACCTTATGCGCTCCTCAGACAAACGGACTTTTCTGAGGATCGCATAAGCGTGAAACCCAGGGTTACAAAATCATATCCATTCAACTAAATATGTTTGCTCTATCATTGACATTGAGCGCTTTCCAATAAGTCCCGTGCATACATAAATATATATAATTAATATATATATATATATATATATATATATATATATATATATATATATATATATATATATAAACAAATATATATATATATATATATATATATATATAATGAAAATAATTATACAAAAGAATTACTTAGCAATGTTAATGCAACTAATGGCGAAATCACTTCGCTAACAAGATTAATGGGACATTAACTTACTATCAATTCCTTGAATAACGTAATCCTTATATTTAAATTGTTGTCTGATGGAATCGTCCCAGGATCATCAAATCCAATTGAATGACTAGACTCGATTTTACCCCAACTAACGTCTATATAACACGTATTTGAAGAATTTCGAAATACGTGTATTTGAATAAGAGAAGAAATTATTATCCGTGAATTAAAAAAAAATGGATTACATAGGGATTGATAGAATAAGGAAAAGATAGGAAAGCAGTTATACATTTGATATGTTTCGCTACATTTGTCTTAGCTTCATCAGAAATGTAAGAATGGGAAGAACGCGAATAATGTTTCAGTATTTCGAATTCTATACTGTTGACATTTTGTCTTTTTTCTCTAACAATTATTCCACTTGTAAAATGTTCAGAAATACTTTTGTATACAAAGAAATATATGAATTTATGAAAATATGAATTTATGAAAATATGAATTTATGAAAATATGAATTTATACGTTTTACGGATTACTGGATAAATGAGATATTTGCAAAGAATAAATTAGACGAAATACCAATTTCATCTTCATATGTATGATCACTGGAAGGACCTGTATTACTTGAAGGCGTGCGGCCACGTTTTCGCAACCACTTGAAGGCACTACTACCCACGTCAGTGAAACCACAAGTTCCTGCCTCAAAATCGCAAAATACGCTAGCTGAAACAATAGAAAAAAAAGTATAGATTAAAATCAAGGGGACCCAAAGTGTATACAGTCTTAAAAGCGACAAAAAGACTGGTGCTTTAATTATTTACATATTCTGTTTTTAATTATATATGTGTGTGTATGTGTGTGTGTTTAATTCCAGAATCAAAGTAACTCCGAAAAGCATACTTATCACTCAACACCTGTGTTGGTGCTCAGTCGAGCACTTTATCTTTATCTCTTCAAGCCAAGATTCAGTGGTTATCTATCCTCCTTATCCTCATAATCTCTACTTTCTATCACCTTCTCTTCCATTCATGTTGCGCATTTTATTCGTTATTACCATTTCGACTGTAACCCAATAACTTGATTGGCTCTGGGGCCTTCTATTAGGTGAAATTTAGTAAAAGAAGATATTGGATTTTCGATCGTGAGTAAAAGGAAAATGGATGCATTTAATAATCACACCTTACAAATAACAGTTTACCACTGATTTAATTTTTTTATTGAAGCATATTTTTATCACTTTAAACGTTATTTTTAGTTGTTTTTTTTTTTGTTTTTTTATTATTAAACAGTATATTTATTTTCGTCTGCCGGCCTGAATTATAGAGAAATTTTATTAAACAAAAAATCTGCCACCGGCTAGGATTCGAACCTGTGTCCCCCTCTGCATAAGAAACCGTCGTTATACCCGACGTGCTTTTAACTGACTCGGCCACGAAGAGCGTCCTCGATACATTTGAGCACATCGTTCTCGTTTTAGGTTCCCGGAAGTTCATAACTGTTGTCTTGTAAACGAAGCAATTTCTAATGAAGTAATGGATTTTTGAATTTATGAACCTGACATATTTTTATTACTTTAAAGGTCATTTTTAAATAAAAAATATTATACTAAAAAACCCTTAAAGTGATAAAAATATGTCTGATTAATAAATAATAAATAAAAGAAATAAAAATATATCTATTATTTCTTTAGCATTTATAAAGATAAACATGGCTTACCTTCTAGTAATGTGAAAAAAACGTGACTTACCTTCTATTAATGTGAAAAATTTTCAAATAATGTCCTCATAATCAAATAGTGAACGGTGAAGAATAATTGTCGACCCGAACTACTTCATAGAAATTGATCGAATGCATGATTTTTTAAAATCTCTTTTTGATCCGACTGAGTGCTTTCTGCATTCTGTTGAGGTTTCTTCTAGACTCGATGAATTACTTAATTATGATTATTTCAAATCCTCCTAATAATTTCTGTGATTGGGTATATACCCAATTTTCCTTAGTTTATTTTTGTTTCTATTTTTATTACTTTTGTAATACGGTATCCTACATTTTAATAACAAGACTTGTCAAGAAAGGTGAAATGTTGTAAGAATATGGACACAAACACATTTAAAAAGAAATTAATTTAAAAGTTAAAAATGTTAGCGACCTTTCTTCTTTGTACGCATGTGCAGTTACATCAACGGAAACATCACTAATGAAGACGTAAAGAACGAAACGTGTCACACAAAAAATGACCAACAATATATAGTCACAGTAAAATTAACAATACATCTTATCTGGAATTGAAGGCAAGCAACTGCGTTCAAAATATTTAGAGGTTGATATGCCACTAAAAAAAATCAACCAACCAAAAATATTTTTAAATATAACTGTAATCTTGATTGAACTTACAATTTGCGTATCCAACTGAATTCACCACATTTTCACAGGTAACACCAGCAACTGATTTGTCCTTACAGTTATCTGGTTCAAAGTTGTCATGGGAACACTGAAGGATTGATAATTCCTCTCCTGTACAGATGACATTAGTAAGTAATATGTTCCAGTTTCCTTCAGACACTGGAAGAACCTCGCCATTACCATTTCTGTAATAATAATAATAAATAAAGCAAAATACACCCATGCAATAGACCAATGCAGAAACGATGGCACACCTCTTCATGGTCAATACTCTGCCCGTGCCAAACAAGCTGATGTAGAGAAACTCTGCACCCACCAGTGGTTACGTAGTGCAGAGTCTAAAGCTGAAACTAAAGGTTTTATTATTGCTGCACATGATCAATACTTTGCTAACTAGAAATTACCAAGTACACATACAAAAAAATTGTGTTGACCCCAAATGCAGATTCTGTAATAAATATCCAGAAATAATTGACCTTCTTGTACCAGCTTGCACGATACTGGCACCCATTGTATATAAAACTCGGCATGACAAAAAATTGTGTTGACCCCAAATGCAGATTCTGTAATAAATATCCAGAAATAATTGACCTTCTTGTACCAGCTTGCACGATACTGGCACCCATTGTATATAAAACTCGGCATGACAAAAAATTGTGTTGACCCCAAATGCAGATTCTGTAATAAATATCCAGAAATAATTGACTTTTCTTGTACCAGCTTGCACGATACTGGCACCCATTGTATATAAAACTCGGCATGACAAAAAAAATTGTGTTGACCCCAAATGCAGATTCTGTAATAAATATCCAGAAATAATTGACCTTCTTGTACCAGCTTGCACGATACTGGCACCCATTGTATATAAAACTCGGCATGACAAAAAATTGTGTTGACCCCAAATGCAGATTCTGTAATAAATATCCAGAAATAATTGACCTTCTTGTACCAGCTTGCACGATACTGGCACCCATTGTATATAAAACTCGGCATGACAAAAATTGTGTTGACCCCAAATGCAGATTCTGTAATAAATATCCAGAAATAATTGACCTTCTTGTACCAGCTTGCACGATACTGGCACCCATTGTATATAAAACTCGGCATGACAAAAAATTGTGTTGACCCCAAATGCAGATTCTGTAATAAATATCCAGAAATAATTGACCTTCTTGTACCAGCTTGCACGATACTGGCACCCATTGTATATAAAACTCGGCATGACAAAAATTGTGTTGACCCCAAATGCAGATTCTGTAATAAATATCCAGAAATAATTGACCTTCTTGTACCAGCTTGCACGATACTGGCACCCATTGTATATAAAACTCGGCATGACAAAAAATTGTGTTGACCCCAAATGCAGATTCTGTAATAAATATCCAGAAATAATTGACCTTCTTGTACCAGCTTGCACGATACTGGCACCCATTGTATATAAAACTCGGCATGACAAAAAATTGTGTTGACCCCAAATGCAGATTCTGTAATAAATATCCAGAAATAATTGACCTTCTTGTACCAGCTTGCACGATACTGGCACCCATTGTATATAAAACTCGGCATGACAGAATTGGCTTATATCTGCACTGGAATATCTGAAACTTTTACAGGAATGAAACTGCAAGAAACTGATATGAACACCATCCAAACCCAGTTACAGAGGACCTGTAACAGTTTTAAGGGACTCTAAAATACACACAGACAGAACAATCAAAGCTAATCGCAAAACAGAATGTGCTTCTTGCTTATTGACATGGCACTTCCTGCAGATTGTAAGGTATTTTTGAATATGTTCAAAAACTATTAAAATACAAGGATCTTGAACTATAAATCTCAAAAATGTAACACATGAGGACATCAATAATTCCAATTGTAGTTGAAGCCCTCGGATTGACTGTAAAAGGTTCCGATAGACTGATTAAAGGGATTCTTTTTAGCCCATACCTTAATGAAATATAAAAAAAATTGCACTCACAAGTACATTTCACACATTCCGAAGAGTTTTATCCCTGTAAAATGTGTGTGATGTTAGGTTGTTGCTTTTTTTTTTTTGGCTTTTTTTTTTTTTTTCGTTTTTTACAAGAAATGATCAGTGGAAAAAGCCATGATGCCATTTCTGACCTTGAAATATATATACAACATAAATCAAAGGAAATAATAATAATAATAATAATAATAATAATAATAATAATAAGAAGAAGAAGAAGAAGAAGAATAGATTACTTTGTGTGGAACTACGCATATCATCCGCAAAACTCTCCTTCACGTCCTAAGTATGCATAAATGACTCTCCTACAAAGACTTTTTTACTCATAGACCCTGGAGGAGACTTGGTAATTAGACACTTAAAATTACTCTCTGGCACGCACAACAACAACAACAACAACAACAATAATAATAATAATAATAATACGAACTTAGATCGATATTTTAATATCGAACGAAAAAAATCAATCAAACAAAAAAACCGAATTATTACATAATTCATTAATCTGACAGATTTTTAGTACTTTAAACATTATTTTAGTAGATAGTAATATTATTTACGTAAGAGTATAAAAAATCCATTGCTTTTTTAGAAAATTACTTAGTTTATGCTTGAGCACGAAACTAAGAAAATATAATATAATTTCGAGGAATCTATGACAAGAAAGATTTCACTTAAAGGCACTGTTCAGACCTTGCTTGATTGACAAAACGTCTTCGCGGCAGAATCGGGTAAGACGTGTCGGATCAAACGACGTTTTCCCTCTGCCCTGGGAGACACAGGTTAGAATTCTGCCGGAGAGCGCATATTTTTTTTTTTTTTTAATTTCTCGAATATTCGGGCCGATGGACGAAAATAAATAAATATATTGTTTAATAAAAAACAGAGCATCTACTTAAATATGAGAATCCATTAAAAATAATGTTTAAAGTGATAAATATATATTATTTCTTGGTTGCCTTCTTTTATTTATCATTTAAACATAATTTACTATAATAGTAGTAATCGGTATATTTGACAACGATCCGTTTGTCCCGACGTCCAATGTAAAAAAGTATTTTTGGTGTCGGGGAAGGATAACATCTCCTTTAAAAGTAGTTCGACCTGTGGTTCCAAATAAGCTGTCACAATTCAGTAAATCGATTCGACTGCATGATCGAGTGATCAATGGTTAAACCAGTTCCCCAACTTGTCTCATTTAGTGAGGCGGATGGTAGGCACCCAGCACAATTAAAAGAAACACCAGTTAAAAGACAGTTGAACCATCTTTTAGAGTCAACGGCTAACTAGCACAATGGGAGTAGATGGAGCTCCATGGATATCTATAGGCCAATAAGGTAATAAACATGACACTACTGGGGAATGATTTTTAGACCTGAAGTGAACAGTCAGTGCGGAAGATTCTACCGATAGAATCAACGGCCACGGCGAGCCTTCAAGTTGAAGGACATCGACTGTGGCTTGCTGGAGAAGGACGGGCTCCGCCGGAGTGACTTTCCCAAGACACGCTACGCACAAATGAATACCCCTCCAGCTCTCAAACTTGATAGATGATGGGAAATGATCAGGTGCTCAGCCGTGCAGCCACCCAACGAATAAAAATACCCCTGAATAAAAATACATATTTTATTATATTGGAAACCAGGTCGAGTTCTCATTTCTCAACTTGACGTTTGTTTTCGCCTATTGTTTCCATGTGAACGTGCAGCGGGATCTTCCCAGTTTTTGGTACAAACCTACATGAACAAGTATCGAGACACAATGTGGTAGATTCACTGGTCGTTCGGTGGGTGAGAGCCCGTTGTATGTCTATACGCCGTGTCCCCCAGGCACACTACTACTCATGATACTTAAGGAGTAGGTGTGGCCTTCACAGTCATCTCCGTCACCACTACTAGAGGGTAGAAAAGGAATAAGGAAAGAGGGTGACAATCCCGATTCTCCGATGCGAGCGGATGCCGACGATTTTATTATAAGGGAAGTTCTCGCAGTTTCTAAATACATTTAAGGTCCTACAAACTGTGAGAACTTACCTTCCAACCAAATAGTAAACCCAGCATTGCTATGAATCCAACACATGACTTTAAAGTTATATGTTATCTCACAAAAGTTCAAATCTGAATAAGAAACCTGTATGAAGATATTATTTAAGTTTTCTTTAAGAAATAAAAAGAATACATTTAGTGAAAAACTCACGTTAATCCCAAACTCCTGCATGCAACATTAGCTTCTTTTTTGCTCCAGCCCTCATTGCAAATGTTTCCCCATTCGCCGTTGAAATAAATTTCTAATCTTCCTGAATTCTTTGTGTCACCAACAAGTCGGAGGGTTCCAGAGGCTTACATAGAAATAAATACAAAAATATGATCAAAATCAATATGGATAAACTCATACAATGTGGTCGGAGACAATAAATAAAAAGATGAACGAAAAAAAAAAAATGAAATGTTTAACCGTTTAGTATAATCGTCACTTTTCAGTGCTAAGGCCATTATTTGACGTTAGTTTTCTGAATATCAAAAAGCAAATTGACGGAAAATATAAAAATATAAATAGATGAAAATACTTCTATCTTTTTTGTTATCAACTCATCTCAAGCAAGGCGATAATGTCATAAAGATGCAAGATGGGGGTGGCTACTGGAAAGAGAATGGGAAAACTTCATAAGGAACCGGAAACCCAATCCTAAACAGGAAACAAAGGGAAGAGTTTGGACAAGACGATAGGCGTACCTATCAAATCCTGTTGAGGAAAAAAAAAGGCGGAGGCGTTAGAAGTATAAAGTTGCAGTAGACTTTAGAAGGAACCGGAAACATAATCTTAAACAGAACGCAAAGGATAAGCCTTTAATCCTGTTAAAGATCGGGGAGAAGTGTAAACCGGGCGCTAGGCGAAACTTCTATTCCTGTTGAGCGAAAAAAGAACAAAATTTCAGAGTTTAGGTGGTAACGTTAGGAGTATAAAGTTGAAGTAGACTTTAGAAAGTACTGGAAACTTAATCTTAAACAGGAAACAGAACATAAAAATCTAGCCCTGTTCAAAAGTGTTAACCTGGCGCTAGGCGAACCTATCTATTCATATTAAACTAAGCTAAAATTAAAGACAATAAACATATGAACATACAACGGCCCCTCACCCACCGAACAAGCAGTGTCTCGATACTCGTTCATGTAGGTTTGTACCAAAAACTGGGAAGAGCCCGCTGCACGTTCACATGGAAACAATAGGTGAAAAATCGAGAAATGAGAATTCCAACCCGTTTGCCGATATCATAAAATATGTATTTCTATTCAGGGTTTCGTTTGCACGATCTGGGTGGGTAGGTAGATGACACTTGGGACAAATGACTGCTGTGTCAATCTAATAGTACAGTTCTTCCCTCCAGTTACCCTGCTTATCATGATGGGTGGCTGGCAATACGAACATGCGTACTGGAACTACTTGAGGGACTACTGACCAAGTCAGAACCAAGATGTAAACGTATGAAACTGTGTCGGGAATTAGTTTATCAACTTTTCTATTCGAGTATTTGGGAAGAAATTACTGCGTATAGAATTCATCATCTCTCTATTAGGATGTTTTTTTTTAATGTTTTGATTTGTTTCTATCATTTCGCCCCAAGCAAGCCTTAAAGCCACTAGGATAAAGGAATTACTGAATATGAAAGAATAAGAAAGAAGAGATACATAACTAAGGCGCGAGAATAATAGAGCGACTAATCAAGAAGACAGTAGATAATGATTGACATTGCACTTAAGATTTTGAAGATCAAAGTTGGCTGGAAAGCGTGGAATCGGAAGAGAATTCCACAGTACAAGAGAAGAAACTATTAACATAGAACTTACGGTTGCATCAACCAATTCAATTGTAAATTGATGAAACCCTGTTACAAATTTAGTACAACGCATAAATTCATAAAGTCTACTTAATATAAGGGAGAGTTCATCCGAACAATTACCATGAACTCTCTTACGGCTTCTTGTCTCCCAGTCAATTTTGATCTTCAAAAGTTTAAATGCAATGTCAATCGCTATCTTCTGTCGTCTTAATTCTTGTTCTTCTACTGTTCCTTATCTTAAATATTTTTGTTTTTGTTTTTCATATTCTCTCACACTCAGTAATCTCAGTAATCTTTTGCATCTTACCGGGTTTATCAATGATTAAAACATGTTTTATATTACGCTTTCATTATCATGGGATGATTAAAAACACGTCTTATATTCCGCTTTCATTCTGGTAAAGGTTATAATGATGCTATATATGTCATCAGATAACTCCACAAAATTGCATATCTTTAGAAATTTGTTCACCTGTTACGAGGATGATAACTTCATTAGCTGACTATGAAGGCATGATGTTAGAGCTGTGAAATCTTGCACGCTTTAATTTCAACTCTTCTTATTAATAACTGCATTGTTTCTTTCCAGGTCAACTGATATCTGACTGTTCAAAGAAGTCTGTTCATGTTGGTAAAAAAGGCCACCAACTGCAGTAATGTTGTCATCATCACTGCGATATCAGCTTTCAGTTGTACATGTCTGGCAAGGACACCATACCGGAACATGTCAAACCTCATCAGGTGTACGAGAAGAGAAAATAGAGAGACAAAATCTAATCCTTTCCTAGACTTTACTTTATTCCTAAAATTTGTGCATATAAAGTGTGTTCCAATAACTTGTACCGATTTTAAATGTGAATTAAGTTTAAGCGTCTAATGATTTTCTTCTTTTTCTTTCAGATTTAACAATTTGGTTCTTTGGCAATTTCAACCATCGAGTGATTAACAATCAAACAACGTGTTAAAGTTATCTAAGCCTATAACTAAAATGGACGTTCAGACAGAATTTGAAAGAGAAGTTCCCAAGTCGCATCATCTCTCGAAACAGCGAAGTAAATTGGCCACCATGATCGTGCGACTTGACGCCTTTAGATTTCTTCTTTGGGGTCATCTCAAAAGTAAGGTCTATCCCAACAAGTCAACAACAATTCAACAGATGAAGGATGCGATAATAAGGCATATTGGTGAGATAGAGGAGTAACTATGCAGAGACGTCATCAAAAATTTCGACCATCGAGTGGAGGTGTGCCACCGAAGCCTTGGCGGACATTTGGGCGATATTATTTTTCACACATAATTTCTATGACATAAATAACATGATCCAATAGAGAAATAAATAATCACCAATAACACTGATTTATTTACTTCTGACTTTAATCCATCTTAATGAAACACCCTTTATAATGACAGATGTAGAGTAAGAAGCATTTATCAAACAAGATGTCATTTCATATTAGAAATCCATACTATATCTCAAATGAATCAGAAAAAAAGTAGTCATGCTTTTCCTCACGTAGTCGATATAATAATGATGGAGACTAAACTGATGACGTAGGTACCACATTTTCCCTATAAAATATCTCGAAAAAGCACCCCGCATCCTATAAAGCGAAAATCATTGGCAGGAGTTATAGGCTAATTTCGTGAGAACATTACCTTACATATATTTATTACATAGGCTAGTAATGTATTCGTTAGGTTTGCCAAAACTTTCCCGTGCCACAAGAAATTTGACTTGACTGTGTGAAAAAATAGTCCACACGTTATTGCCTCCCTTGTCGTCGCTTGGTTCAGAAACGGCCAACCATTCTTTATAAAAAAAAAAAAAAAAAGAAAACCTCCAATTTTTCTATCGTCCAAGATTTTGTCAGGCAATAATCCAGCTTTGTGACTAATCATTAGTTCACCATGAACTATCATTACTTATATAATACCGTATTTTGATGGTTATCGGGCGCATTTTATTTCCTATAAAATATCTCCCCAAACCAACCTGCATCCCTATAAATCGAAGGCCGGTGACGAGAGTTATAAGTTAATTTCGTGAGAAAATTAATTTCGGTAAATTATAAACTTGTAATAACCATTACTGACAATCTTGACAAGTTTATTATAAGATAAACTTGTCAAGATTGGCGGTAATGATGATTTCAAGCTATAATATAGGGATGTACGCTAAGCACAATCGTATGTTTTTTTATGCGTTTACACATAAAAACCTAACCTTATTTCTGTATTCAAACTGACATTTGTATAATTTTAAAATTAGTGTTAAGTCCTGGTTTGTGATGTATTCGTCACAATCAGTATGGATTTTCAGGCTGCAATTCAGTAGTATTATGCACTCTAAAGTTTCTTCTAATTATTACATATAAATAGTTACCATAAATTTGGTAGTTCTTGTCGATCTGTGATGAATTTGTCATAATTACTCAGGGTTTCATGCTGAAATATGCAATTCAGTGGGTAAAATTGGGGATAGTGGGGAGGGCCATGAAGTACAAAGAAAATATTTTCCTGATTTTTTCTTTCAAAATTTGAGTGATGGCGTCTAATCCACCGGTGCGTCTTATAAACTGCGAAACTCGGTATTCATAAGGTAAGAATGACCTTGAACATAAAATCGACATCCTCTACTCAAATTTCTGAGAAGTAGAACTGAAGATAGACCTTTTCAAAACAGAAACTCTAAGGTGGAATTGGCAAAAAAAGCAGGGATGCCACATACCCTAAAAACTTATTATTGGGTTGGTGCATAATTTTCATGCGTTTTTAAACATTATTTGAAATAAAAAAAAAGAAACATAACAATTCAACAGTAACATTTTTAAATGATTATTATAGCGCGCATGATTATCTACACGCATTTTTATAACCTGAAAATAAAATATTATTTTTATTGACAAAAGTAAACAAAACAGCAATTTTTATTAATAAATAACTCGCCTCCAAAAATGCCTGATAATTATGCACCAACCAAATAGTAAAAAATAAACACTTCAAATACCTCTGTGTATGGGTCAGTTATAACAAATTAAGTATAGGTGATAAGAAAACATAGAATAGGCTGTGTTAAGGGGTTAGTTTGGCTTAACACCGCAAGTGCCTGCAAAAACAAACCGTTAACCGAATAACTCGAGTCATATTCTTAAACAGCCTCGTCAGACCAATACTTTCATATGGGCGTCTTGCATGCCCCCACCTCTCGTTCAGAAATATCTAAACTGTCAGCTGAATATAAACACTTTCTAAGGTCAAAAGTTAAAAATGGCTTTGAACGAATGAAAACCTGGTGAGGACCATCCTTCTTTGAACCTAGTGGTTTGGTGCTACAGAATCAAAAACATAGATCTGTACCAAATAATAGAAACTGCATCTTTTGGAGACTTTCAACAACAGTAACAACTAAAACGTGTATCCAAAAAAGAAAATAATAACATTTTCAATATAAATCAAGATGTTTACGTTCTGCTCCACTTCAAACAAAAGATTAGGAAGAAAGGCCCCGTCAATAATGAAAAGTGCAATAGCAGTTGCTGGACATGCGAAACCTATTTTCTTGAAAAATATTTAAATAAAAAGATTGTTTAAATATCAGTTGAAAATAGCACTGGCTGCTTGATCAATGAATGCTAAATGTTTCCTTATAAGAAAACGGCTATAATTACAATTATATCGATTATTTGTTCCTTCATTACGGGTGCTGGACGCAAACACTTTCTGGGTTATGCACTTGATAGCCAAGAATCCGAAGCTTTGAGTAACTTCAATGGAAGTTATCCTGTCAGCAAGTGTATAATATTGAGACTACTGTACTGTCTTTTTTTCTGGATGTGTTCTGGACTGTGCAGTAGTCTCCACTATGTCCTCTCGATGCTATGATGAAATCTGTATTAAACTATATATATATATATATATATATATATATATATATATATGTTTGTGTGGGTGCACACATTGGGATTCATATAGGTAAACTTCATTACTATAAACGTTATTTTTAGGGGAAACACATGTTTGAGTTTATATACTTAATTTTTAATTTTATTTTATTTTGAACAGTGATATTAATAGCAACCGACCTAGATCGAAAAGTCCCACAAAGGAAAAATTTTATCGCTTGACAGGAATCGAAACTGTATCCCATTATCCGTCAGAGAATATGTTGCAAACAGATGATAAAGGGATGACAGTTTCGGTTCCTGTCGGGAGGCACAATTTTTGTAGAATTAATGTCGGATTAAAAAAATCAATAAAAATTGTTAAATTTCCAAACTGATATTTACCTGGTTCTTCTGAATCCCAAGGGTTGAAATCAGCTTGTGACAGTACTCCACGTAAGGGAAGAATGGAAAACAGAAATATATAAATGATCCCGGTGAATATTTTACTGGTTTTTGACCAGCACTTTAATAACATCTGCAAATAAAGGAAGCAGAGAGAAAAGAAATAAAATCTACAGTATTGAGAACATTCAGCAATCTATACAAAAATGTTTGTAATGCTTGTCTTGTCTACGCAAGTCTTTTCTGTGTCATAGATCCCATTTAATTGGATTTCTTGTTGCTTCTAAAGATTCCCTTATCATCCTGTTCGCACTCCTCCCCAGTCTTTTGAACAGAAATAGAGTTATATAACTTGTTTTCTGTTTAGGAATGGTTTTCCGGTTCCTTCTAAAGTCTACTTGAATTCTATACTTCTAACATCTCCGCCTAAACTCTGAAATTTTATTTGCTATGTATTTTGATTCATTTTTATTTTAGTTTTTACTTTATTTTTCCTTCTGTTGGTTCGCCTATCATCCGGTTCACACTGCTACCCCGTTTTTCCAAAAAGTAGGGCTTTATCCCTTGTTTCCTGTTAAGGATTGGGTTTCCTATTCTTTCTAAAGTCCTCTCATTCTCTTTCACTCCCAGTAGCCCCTTGCGCCTTCGTCGAATTAAGAACTGATTTTTTTTAATTCATACCGAAGATAGAAAAAAATAGCAGATAAGAAATTAGGAAACACATCCATATATATATATATATATATATATATATATATATATATATATATATATATATATATATATATATATATATATGAATGAATGAATAAAAGACAAAGAGCAAAACTATTCTTAACATTTCGCCTTCTGAGAGAATTGATCAAATCAATGTAGGAATTATTTTGTTGTACGTATTTATATACAAGAGAAAGGATGTCATTGGTTTATCAAGTCTTGAACGTTCATGAATGTTTATCAGGTGGTTGAAAGGCCAGTTAAAACATGTGGGGGACACAAAGTGTCATAATTCAAAATCCGGTAAAAAGTAAGCGAGTAATATTCAAGAAATATTATTTTAATGAATATTGTTTAAATTGGGATTAGATTGTTATGGTTTGCGATAGACGTATGCGCTGTGCATCTTCAAAAACATGAGGTGATGGATTTAACTGATTTCTTTAGATTTCCAACATCTTTGTAGTCGTGTATGTTGTCTTGGGAAAGTAGTAATTCTTTCAGGAAATGTGAGATTACAAAATAATATAAATATATATATATATATATATATATATATATATATATATATATATATATGTATATATATATATTTGTTGTTGATTTTTTTTGTTCTTTTCGTTTTTAGATTTTTCTATCCCCCCCCCACACACACACACACTCAAAGACATTTTGTCTCAATGATTCTCCCTATTTGATAGTTTAGTAAGAAATCCTGGTTCGAAAGAAAAAAAATGGGAAAAATGGAAAGCATTTCTCCCAAGCCCAGTACTTGGTGAGGGCGGAAGATTGGCCGTTGATTCCCCCCACCCCACCAGGTCGACGCTTGGACATAAGGTAAGCCGTACATTCAGTCACCATCATGAAGAAGAAGGCAGACAACCACTTGTTGGCCCATGTGAGTATAGTTTCGCTCTAGCAGAAACTCATTTACATTTTTCATTATTTTTATTTATTTATTTATTTTTTGTTCTTTTCGTTTTTAAATCTAGTCTCGCTGACAAAACTCACCTGGCCATGCGTCTCGAAAAGGACCTCCAATCGATTGTGAACTGGGGTATGAATTGGCTGGTCAACTTCAACGCTTCTAAGACAAAACTGCTCTCTATTAATCACCACAGAGATCCTTCCCTTCCCTCCATTAGAATGTCTGACGCTCAATTTCTCGAGAGCAACTCTCTGCGGCTTCTCGGTCTCACGTTGACTGCTGACCTGAGATGGAATAAATACATCGAGTCAATTGCCTCGTCCACTGCGAGGAAAGTTGACTCCCTGAGCCGTGTTAGGAAGATTTTCTCCCCTGAGTCGATCCTCCAGATATACAAATCCACAATTCGCCCTTGCATGGAGTATTGCTGCCATATATGGTCTGGTGCCCCTTCTGTTTGCCTCGGGGTTCTTGATAGGCTCCAGAGGCGAATATGCAATGTTGTTGGCCCTGCCCTGGCGTCTCGTCTACAGTCACTTACTCACAGACGCGCCGTCGCCTCCCTCTGTCTGTTCTACAAATACTTTCATGGAAATTGCTCCGAGGAGCTGCATTCGCTGGTTCCCAGACGTCATGAGTTCCAGCGTCCTACGAGGCTGGCATCCCGCTCTCACCCCTTCGCTGTCGAAACTCCTAAATGTAGCCGTCTCTTCTACTCTAATAGCTTCATGTCTCGCACCTCTCGCCTGTGGAACTCTCTTCCCTTCTCCTGTTTCCCTGTGAGCTATAATCTCCAGCTATTCAAGAGTAATGTCAATCGACATCTCCAGTTGCCTTGATCTATCCACTACCCTCGTCCTTTCTTCTATCACTCCTATCTGATCTTGCTCTAAATTTTCTGTAACCCCTTGCGTCCTAATAGCTTCCCGCCTTGCTTGGGGTGAAATGCTTAATATATATATATATATATATATATATATATATATATATATATATATATATATAATAAATAGTGGTACTCGCTTGGAAATACCTTGGGTATTTCGACTTGTAGTAGAACAAACCAGTACCCAAGGAAAAATGAGCAATAAAAAAAGAAAGAACTAAGAACATGAAATTGAGTCGAAAACAATTATCCAGAGTTTAAGCGCAAAGTCCAAAGAAAAAAAAACCTCCAAAACGAGTAAAAGCAACTACGTAAAGTGTTCAATACACGAAGAAAAGCAAACCTAAGATAAACCTACATTACCCTGATGATTCGTTTAGGTGAAACCTAGGTAGGTTTGCCTGGCTCCTTAGGTTTATCTTATATATATGTGTGTGTGTGTGTGTGAAAAGCGAATATTTTTTGTTTCTGCAGTTTATCAACACTTCGTTGGTTATTTAAAATAATATAAATAATTTAAATAATTCTTTTTCTTTCATTTTTTTTCTTTATTATTTTCCCGGGTGTAGGTTCTCTGATTTCTTATTCGGAGCCATTATACATTCTATCAACAGCCAATCCTAAATCAGGCGTATAAATGAAAACGTCACACTAGAGCATGATGATTCCTTTAGTCGTAAAAAGCATCAAGCGTGAAAACTAGTTGATTTCTTAATCTACACAAACATAAACAATATTTACACTCACTCACTCTCTCTCTCTCCCCTTCTCCTCTCTCTTTCTCTTCTGTGAACCTGGTAATCCTTTTCAGAAAAATTTAAAAACATGAACATAAAAGACAAACATATTGCAAGTTTAGATTTAAAAAATACTAGCAGTAGAGCCCGGGGGTGTAACAATAAGAGATAGATCAAGTATCAAGACTGAAAAATAAAATTGACGAAGATTATTGTTTAAGGTTGACGGACACGCATGTCTTAATTAGTTTTGTGTTTTTGTTTTGTTTTTTGTTTTTTTTCGAATTGGTCCAACCCAAACTCAAACAAAAACATTGTTTTCAATTGTTATGAGTCTACCGATTGAATACAATTTTATTATAAACAATTGTCTTGTAAATGGAATTTTTAAAGCATTCTGAATGTAAAAATAAAGAAAAAAGCATGCATGACAATAAGAAACACTACCTGCCAAAAAAAAGTAAAGTTTTGTTGAAATCGGTTGAAAAATGTAGGAAATCCGATCCCGTATTTAAACGAACACACACACACACACACACGCATACACACAAACACAAACAAACAACCTGGGTTTTATAATAAGTATAACTCCATATGTGTTGCCCGCCTTTCATTCTCGCGACAGCGATGCCTCTTAATCTTTGGCGCTGTCAGAACCACCGCAAGGTAATTTTACGTAGTCCTGTGAAGTTTTGTTGAAATCGGTTGAAAAATGTCGGAAATTCGATCCAATATATAAACGAACAGACACACACAACCTGGGTTTTATAATAAGTATGATTTACATACAAATACGCTGTTTTTAATTATGGTTAACGACCTTCCCGATGACATCAGCTCCCATCAAGGCATCTACATTAACGACACAACCATCTAGTTCTGCTTCGATAGTAAGGTTGATCAGTCTGACAAGGTCAAAACAGCAGCCAATGTCCAAAGCGACCTCAAGTCCGTCGTTAACTGGAACAAAAAATGTCTTGTCAATTTTTAACTTCTCCAAAACTAAACTCCTCTCCATTAATCATCTGCGAGACCCCTCTCTGCCTTCCATCAGTCATGGCTGATGCTAACCTCCAGCCAAGTGACTCGTTTCGCCTTAACCGGCTAACGTTCTCAGCTGACACGAATTGAAAAGACTAGATTGACTCCATTGCTGGGTTAGCAGCTAGGTCGGTTTATTATGTCCTACGGGACATTTTTCTCTCCGGAACCTATCTTACATATCTATATGTCTACCATTCGTCCATGTTTAGAATATTGTTGTCGCATATGGTCTGTTACCCCTGCTGTTTACCTTGAGCTCCTTGATAAGATCCGAAAAAAGAATCAGCAATATTATTGGTCCTGATCTGGCGGCTCGGCTTCAGTCACTTACCCACCGCCGTAAAGTTGTCTCTCTGTGTCTTATTTATAAATACTTTCATGGTTATTGTTTGGATGAGCTCTTCGCTATGGTACCTAGACTCTATGAATTTAAGCGCGGTGCTAGACTGGCGTCGACATCTCATCAATTTAGAGTTGAGTTGGCTAGATGCAACTGTAAATTCTATGCTAACACTTTCTTTTTTTGCACTTCTCATTTATGAAATTCCCTTCCCGTTCCATGTTTTCCAGCCAACTTTAATCTGCAAAAATTTAAATGCAATGTCAATCGCTATCTACTGTCCTCCTGTTTACTCTTTTCTCTCCCTACTCATTAATGTTTCTGTTCTTAATTCTTCCATACGCTGTAACCCCATGCGTGGCTTTACCTAGTTGCTTGGGGGGGGGTATCGATTAAAAAAATATCCCCGTAAAGAAATGCCTAAATTTATTAAAAATACATCTAACTAAAACAAAATAACACTATCTCTGTCAACATATAAGATCATAAAAATGTGCCAATTAATCTCTAATCAATGCTTTTTCGTCTCCTATAAAATTTTTATAAACAGAAATTCGGTTTATCGATAGATTCCTCCTCTTAGCGGCTTTTTAGCTTGTCCCTTTTTTGAATGTCTAGAAAGTGGTCCCTAATATTTTACCATAAAAATTCTTCATATTTTAGAAACATATATGATACGCTAATATCTATCCAAATGACACAATTTTATCTGACCTTGTTAATAAACTTAACAGCCCTGAACTCACAATGGATTTTACTACTGAATGTGAAATCAATAATACTCTGATCTTCCTAGATGTCATAATACATGGAACTAAGAATTACCTTCAATTAAAAGTTTACAGAAAATCTACTAATAAGAATGACACATAAATTATTATTCTCGCCACTGCAACAGAATAAAACCTGGAAGAATTATCGGATTTTATTTAAGAAACTAGAAGAAATATACATAGAAAACACTTCCCAAAAGCTCCAATATTCTTACTATTTCATTCACAATACTAAGAGAAAAGCATACAAAATCTACAACTGCAAATTACGTATTAACTCCTTAACATCTACTATCCAAAACAATTGATTCAATCTTAACAATAACAAAATAATTGCCACCACGTCATATTATGTGTATGATCAGAACCAAAATTGTGCAGAAGTAGGTATATATATAAATAAAGTCGGTATATATATAAATGAACTAAGTATACATAAAATAAGTATTCCAGAAGTAGGTATATAATGGCTTAGTGATAGAATCCCCGACTGATGCCAATTCAGTCGGGTTTCGATCCTAGCTAGGGACAACCGGACGTCTAGCCACACTGATGAGCTGTGATACAGCGAAACAGTCTGTCTGTAGAGGACAATATATATATATATATATGCTCCTTAAAAATTTATTTCGGTTGAGCTCTCTGGGGAGGAAGTGTGGGTTTGTAAACAATGACTTTTACGGCTAATAATGCATGACTCTTCGGTAAATCGAATCGAGTTCTCTGTGTGTTTTATCTAAAAATAAATACGCTTAAATTCACCTTCATCCCTGCCGTGCGCCAACAGCTTAGCGGTAGAATCTCAGACTGACGCCAATTCAGTGATACAGCGAAAGTCTGCCGGTGGATGACAATATATATATATATATATATATAAGTTAGGTATATATAAAATAAATATTCCTAAAGTAGATATATATATATATTAATGGAGTAGCTATATATAAAATAAATATTCCTGAAGTAGATATGAAATGAACCGTCGCAACTCTTCCTTACAATATGTTTGGAAACTTGCAGAAATTTAAAAAAAAAAAACTATCTATGAAAACGAAAAGAGTCTTATACATTATCAAATGCATTAGTCATAAACCAATATAATAATAAAGAATCCCTTACTCATAAAAGAATAAAAAATTAAAGTACTTGTGAGTGCCACTATTGAGTCTCGCCATAATGTTAACCTGAGCCCCGGATTTTTACAAATATCTCCTTTCCTAAGAGAAATACTTTTGTCCCAAGCCAACATACGTGACCATAAAAAAATTAAAAGTTAAAAGAAAACGGTTGAAACAAAACTTTTATTATTTCAAATTAAAATATAATAGTAAATTATAATGACATTAATATAAAAAAGAAGTATATAAAGAAATATATATATAAAAACAAATAGGAAATTTAAAAATTCAACAATAACGACATTTACTCACATTCATTCATGAGACATTACCTTATATCACTTAGCATCTTCCATAGTTTAACTTGGCTGTCACAGTTAGTCTTAAGAATATTTATGAGCGTTTCTAAATTTTTTTTTTTAAACCTAACGATATTTTTACTTCTGTTTGTAAATACATGTTGCAAAATAAAATCCTTATATTTACCTAGATAAATCAGAAGATGAAACACGTTGATAAAGAAGTTTTTCTTTTGTCTATTAATATTCTTTTCTCAGAAAAAATTTGTTTATATCTTAATTTTTACTCACACACACATACATATATATATATATATATATATATATATATATATATATATTATAAGATAAATATTTTTTGTCATAAGTATATAAATATAAGATAAATACTTTATTGTTATGTAGAAAATAATATATTTTGAGTTAATAACAGCAAAAAGTACAACTTCATTCGTTACAAAATGGTTTCCGTTTTGAGTTTAACAGAAAAGGATCCCTTAAGCCGGTTAAATGAATGAATAACTGAAAAGTAAGCAGATATTCTTCCAAACGTCGACCTCATTACAGAATGGGACACACAGTTGATCCTCAAACTAAGTAGTTTCTATCGCCATTCTACTGTAAGTATCCGGAAGATAAAGGTAGCGCCCTGTTTGGTCAAAATTCAGTCCTTTGGTGGTGAGACTGGAGTGACCTCTCTGGGTCGTAGGCTGTTCAGACTACATGACCCCATTTCGGTCGTGCCGAAAAGATTCAAACGAATACAAAGCATTACATGTGGAGCCAGGCTTGGCTACAGGAGTGGCTGGAAAGTTATCAGGACATAACGAAGGGAAAAGGGACAAGTTAAGGCAGCTGGTTACCTTTATGATGAGCTTGAATGAATGGTGGAATGAGGAGTGGGAGACTTGATAAATGGGCCAACGCTTCTAAGGGATACATGGGATAGGTGATTATGGAGAGCCATAATCGCCCACGTCCTGAAGGGATATGGCACAAAGAAGGATATAATGAAGTACGGCATTAAAATAGTTGTATATATCAAATTGAATGCTATTTTTATTTCTTTTACTCTTATGTGCCAAATACAATGGGGTTTTAACAATTATGGGGTCAGAATAAACGGGGTCTTAATAAAAGGGGACAGAAAAAATTTAAAGGGCTAAAAAGGGCAAAATTAATGAATGGGGTACAGGTGGCTCATGGGTATTAAATATAGTATGGTATGGTATAGCAGAGACATCAATTTGACCCTAATGATAACTAACACTTAATAGCATAGTACGAATCAAACGTAACTGATTATGAAAATGTGTCATGAGCCACTTGCTTTGAAAATTAACATTTATGTAACGTGTACATTGAGGTCAACAGTGATTCATCACAAAGTTTCGTTAGACAAAAGTTTCTATACAATTTCTCTTTCTCCAATCTTAGGGCATTCTACTTTTTTTTTTTTCTAGTGTGAAGCGGTTTTTAGTTTTCATTACAACCAAATTATTTTACGCCTATTAACTTTGATTGTTATTGCATAGGGATAGATACATATAGATTGGGTGATTATTTTACGGCTCATCAAGCATTTTTATTTAATATTACATAGATACACAGTGATAATATGATAGATAGATAGATAGATAGATAGATAGATAGATAGATAGATAGATAGATAGATAGATAGATTTTACGGTATATCAATACTTTGTGGGTTATTTAAATCCGAAAAATATTTCGGATTTTAGGAGGTTACTTACAACATCCGGTTCAACGCTACTTCAGACATCGAACGAGAACCTTTGTTTTCAGCGTAATTTGACCTTCGGCCCATATAGATAGAGACAGTGAGGATATCGAAATTGATAATGAATGACATCATACTACAATTTGAACTTCAGGTCAAGGCCTACTATTCTTTTAGCGGGCTGTATATCTAAGTCATTGGTAGATTAAAGAAAATGGAGGAAAGAGGAAAACAGCTCAAGAAAATCCTTTTGTTTAAGGTTAATGTTTAGGCTTGATATGGTCATTTATTTATATATTTACTCTTTTATTCACTTACGTATTTTATTTTGTATATTTTTCTTTCGTGTATTTTTCTTTGGTTGTAAGTAATTTGGTATTTGGAGTAAAGTTTATTACATTTAGGTTATAAGATTCTTTTCGGACTTTTAGTTATTATTTGGTCGTAGGTAGCATAGTAGGCGTTTGTTTTCGTTACCTACAAACATATCATGTCCAAACATATAATTAAAATCCCACTGCAGAGGAGAGCATAAGCATAAGTAGTTTGCGTCAAGGTTAAGACAATCATACTAGAATAGGCATGTCAAGGCACAACGGTCTCTGCACCTTAAGTATCATCTAGAATCCCCCCGTAGTCTTCCGAGACTAACGAATCGTTATATATATAATACTACATGTAGCTATTGGTAGGGAGGCACAATAGAGTAATGGGTAGCGGCTGGGATTAAGGAATCGAAGAGCCGAGTTCGAATTTCAGTCGAATCCTTTACGTGCTAATACCCTTGGGAAAGGTATGAATTCTCTTCTTCTATGGATGGCAACTGATCTAAATACTAAATTAACTACTGCGAGAAAAAATCTGCCTCGTCAGTCATGTATCAAAAGATGAGCGCTTAATCGTGTATCACGCATGACACATAACTGACTGATTATTGGCATATCGGCTGCACAATCTTCTCGCCTATATTTGAAAGAATTCGATATTCTGTAGTTACAGTAACAAGAGGCATTGATCGATGCCAATAGGCGAACATACTTCATGTTAACAACATAGCAAGTAAATAACCTTTTAACCTTTGCTTCCAATACACTGCTGGTTATTTCTTTTTATACCTTGTTAGCATTCTTTAGATATTTGTACATTTAATTAAGTAAAAACTAGAGTTTTTTCTTGCATATGAAAACGAGTTCCAGTGAAATTGCAAATTACTTAGATATGGCTATCATTTTCTCTTTTCTTTCATTCTTATTACAGGACGGATCGTGTTAGCTTTCATTACATATTATTTTTATTTTAATAATTTATGTCTATTCTTATTTGTATCTTACAAACTTATATACAAAAGCAATGTAAGTTTTGTAAAGAAAATACATAATTTCGTTAGAGCGTGGCGGGTCTAATATATATATATTTATATATATATATATATATATGTGTGTGTGTGTGTGTGTCTGTGTCTGTGTCTGTGTGTGTGTAACCAAATTCAACTGATCTCCTGCTTTTTAAATATATGAGTGTGTGTGTGTGTGTGTGCGTTTGTGTTAAATAGAATTAATTGTTTAGATAAAAATCCTACATTACTCATGCAGAAAAATAACCAATAACCAATACAATTCTAAAATTATTTAAATATGGCCATCATATGTTTTGTTTTTACGTCTAGACAGGCGTGTTAGCTTAATTCAGACATATTTTAAATTTTTAATGATTGAAAAAAAACTTTCTTGCATGCAACAATAGAATTAAATGTATGCAGAAAAATATTGCAATATTGTTTTTTTTACGGAATGGGTCGTGTAAGCTTTCTTTGGATATTTTTGCTTTAATGATTTAAAAAGCAGAATTTTTTCTTACATTCAACAATAGAATTAATTTTGTAGATAAAAACAATAAATTAATCTTGCAGAAAATATAAAGAGGGAATTTTTTTTTTAATTATTTGAATATCACCATTTTTTGACGGTGTGATTAAACTAAAATCTCTAACATATGCCAGATCATTGTAGTTGAGTTCCTACTGTGATATATCGTAGCAAGCTGAATAATAAAATTCTATTTTCGAGTTAACACATTTTAAGGAAACCCTGTATTTGTGACAAGTCGTTAATTTCAGTGATGCAATTCCTGAGATAACATTTTATACCGTGCAATCTGTCACCGGATTTAAGGTATGAAACAACAAAAGTATTTCTGTTCTGGCTTTATTTATTTATTTATTCTGCAAGAGATGTTTTAGTGGATCTCAGTGACTCACCTATTGAAACTTCATGATAAATGCAGGGGTACAAATGTAAAAGCCAGTAATTTGCGTTGCCGGTAATATGAATAAGAATGATTACATAGAGAATAAAATAAAAATAAAAGAAAGGGGCGGGAAAGTAATATAAAATAGCGAATCAGTACCAAATAATAAAGAGGGCTCGCGTTTAAAAATAAAAATAAGAAGAGTAAAGCAGTAGGTGGTTAATTACATCAACAAAGGACCTATGGCAGATTTTAGAAGATGGACGATATATTTATGCATTGCGATAACAAGCTGATAAGGAGCAACTTCCAAGACGACCATTTCAAATGAAATCAAGATACATTCATAATGATTCTCAGCGTTGGCGGTTCCCGTACGATCACCGAAGTTAAGCAACGTCGAGCCTGGTCAGTAGCTGTATGATTAACAGCGTGGAAATATTAAGTGCTCTAAGCTTGAACATACAGTTGGTGTAATAGATAATACTTTGGAATTGTTAATCGGAGGGCCGTATTTCAATTCCAGTTGGGTTCGTTATATTCACTTACGCGCAAATACCCTTGGGAAAGGCATGAATCCACCTCTTCTCCCTCCAGATACGGGTCAATTAGGAAGACTTGTATCACTAAATCATTCTTATCTCAAAACATTCTTTCAAAAGCTAAGCAAAGTATTAAGAAACAGAAACATTTCGTTAGAAACAATGAAAAGAATACTGAAGTGTTACGTGATAGCAGTCCTCCATTATGGCAGACAGTCTCCTCAAAGATGAAGAAGAGACTTGAAAAAAAGAAGAAAAGAGTACTGAACTGTTACGTAATATCAGTCGTCCTATAGGGCAGTGAATGATGGACAATCTCCTCACAAATAAAGAGACTTGAAGCAACAGGAATATAGTTCTGCAGAATGACGCTATGGAATGCTATGGAATTAATATGAGAAACAACGAAGTTTTAGCGTAAATGGAAACAAAAAGGAAACTTATACTTAACACCAGGAAGAGAGAGTTGACATTTCTAGAGCACAAAATTAGGAAGGAGGACTTGGTGAATTTGACACTGACAGGACATAACGAAGGCTATAATGACGGGTTACCTACCTGATGAGCTTGAATGAATGGCGGAACGGGAAATGGGTGGCTTGACAAAAAGACAAACGTTGATAAGGATATTGTGGAGATGCATAATCGCCCATGCCCTGAATGGATACGGCACAAGGGGCTTGGAATTTTGATACTCACAGGACAGACTGAAGGCAAGACGGACAGAGGAAAATAAAACGCATAGCGAGCTTGTGCAAATGGATGGTAAAACAGGGGTCAGGAGAGATAGCAAAAAGACAAAATAGTTGAGTGGCATGCTCGCTCACGTCCTCAAGGGACAAGCAGAACTGACCGGAAAGTACGAAGCCGAGAGAGGGTTCCACAAGCGAGAAGTGCAAGAAAATAATCAGCATAGACCTTAAGGTGACAACTATTAATTTCAACAATGAAATTATGAGACCTAGCTGCCAATCTAGTACTGCGCTAACATTTGAGAAATTTAAGTGCCAAATAGGAAAGTTCATCAGAATAATTACCGTTGAAATATTTATTTTGACATTTTTATGGCGGTGGGAAAGTGACTGAAACCGAGATGCCAGATCGGAACCAATAACGTTGCAGATTCTTCTTTGGAGTTTGTCAAGAATCTCTAGATATATAGCAGAAGCATCAATCCACATTTCGCAGAAAAATTAATTGAACGGTCGAATGAGATATATATATATATATATATATATATATGTGTGTGTGTGTGTGTGTGTGTGTGTGTGTGTGTGTGTGCAAGATAGATTCTAGCGAGAAAAATGTTTAAAACGGTATAGTGAAGCAACTTTTCGAGAAACAGACTTGTTAAATGATTCAATATAAGTATTACACTTCATGTTAGTCGAAAACGTGAGACCAAGAAGGTGCAATGGGTTGCTATACTAGAGGTTAGCATCAGCCACGCTTATAGAAGGTAAAATGTCTTTTATAGAGGATTAATAGAGAGCAGTTTCGTTTTGGAGGTATTAAAATTAATAAGACATTTTTTTTACCTCATTTGACAACCGATTGGATGCCATTTTCGAGACCATCTCCCAATTTGCTTTTATGGAATATTATAAGATTTATATATAATATAATAATATTTTAATAATATTATCTAAATGTGTTCAAATTTTCACACGTGTATAAAATAAATATTTAAGAAATAATAATATTTAATATTATGGTTTAATTAAATATAATATATATAATTATATAATATACGTATCATATAAACAATATACAATAAAATAATATTTTAATGATATTTTAAGGTTTTTTATTTTAAGAGGTGCATAAAATATTTAAATAATATTTTAATAATAAAATATAATATTATATGTTAACTATATATATATTCATAATAATAATATAATACTTAATAAAATTTTAATAATTATATTTAAATGTATTTTTAAAAGTGATTATAAAATATCTATTTTTAATAAATAATAATATTTAATATTATATATTAGTAATATATAATTATGTATATAATATACATAATATGAATATTAAATATAATTATATATGTTAAGAATAACAATAACAGTTTGTTCATATCCATATTAGTCATTTCATATCTATCTATCTATCTATCTATCTATCTATTAGATGAAGTTTATTTGCTTGCTGTCGCTGCATACACCCAAATCCTTTCTTTTATAGCCCTTAACTTTGGCGTGCAAAATTTTCGTTCCCTATGGAAGGCTTTAACGTCTTTAATATTGACAAAGGGTATTCATAAAGCCTTTTGCCTTTACAGAAATATCTTTTGTAGCAACAATTAACATTGTTGCATGTGCGTGTGTGTGT